AATAAAAATGTAGGGCAAAATGCCTAACTGTGCAGTGGCTAACAGAAACACTGATGAATCAGGTATAAAACGTTGTGGCAGAAAATGACAGTATCTATTTGGTTCAACGAGTACGGAATAATAGTCATTTCAAACACGGCTCATGCTGTAAATCATACGAGTAGAAAACTAGCATTCCGTGGGAGTTGTACACTACTTTTTCTACGGCTGTAACAGATGCTTTTTTCATTCTTCGGCTTGTAGCCATCTGATTCGATTTTAAATAATGCTCTAGTAAGTCTAGTAGACAAAAATGTTATTTCTTGAAATTCGATATTTCAAGCATTCCGTGGGAGTTGTACACTACTTTTTCTACGGCTGTAACAGATGCTTTTTTCATTCTTCGGCTTGTAGCCATCTGATTCGATTTTAAATAATGCTCTAGTAAGTCTAGTAGACAAAAATGTTATTTCTTGAAATTCGATATTTCATTGGCGATATGATTTTTATTTATTGTGAAATTTATCAGGTAAGGGAATGAAATTGAAGACATACAATGTACCTCATTGGTTCCACAGGAAGGAAGGAATGCTCGAAGTCATCATTAAAATTTGTGGAGATGACTTCGAGCATTCCTTCCTTCCTGTGAAATATTTCACTCCACTTTGAGCAATATGGACTTTTACCAAAGATTACCCCATTGGTTTATTGAAAACAATGAAACAAGAGCAATTTTATGTTACAGCAGTAGAAAAATTTAAGTTAGTACCTGTTCGTTCATCATTTCAGGCTGGCAAGTATATGGGTACTTATCAACTTATTTGCATAAATAACTAGTCTATTAATTCTCTATGAAGGAAATAGTTATAGATAATATCACATTATTATCAAATGTCATAGTTAAATTCATTGCGGTCTCTTCGATTTCGAATTGATTTTATCTTACTTAGCTATTATAGCTTACATATATATTTGTTTTTACGACACACAACTATAGAGATTGAAACTTTATCGGTACTTGATTGGCTCTATCAGCAAATACAAAGAGGTGTTGGAGAAAAAAAATTGATTTATTACATGGGATATATACTATACCTTCCTAGCTATGTCTTAGAAGTAATTTATTATTTATTGAATTCCAATTGAATTTCTTTCCTATGAAATGAGAACAATCGAAATCTCTGATAGAATTCTATAACATATTATATGTGCATATATTATTATAGTTACTCCGATTTGATATTAATTACACTAAAATAAAGTGTTGGTCCCATCCGGAGTATTGGTACGACGACTCTGAAGTGCCATCAAAACAACCTTTTTTTTACGATTGTATCCACAAGCTTTCATGATCATAAAAATTGTGTATAATGCGGTTATAAGTTGATTATTCCATAAAATAGTCGAATACTCATTCAAATATTCCATATATCAATTATTCGAATACTAATTGAACTATTTCGATATATCGAATATATCGATATATTTCAAATATCGATATCCTATATCTTATTTTCAATATCGCCTAGCTCTACTATCAAATGTATGTAGTGCATGTACAGTATGGAGACTTTACCTGGAATGAAATTCGCTAACAGGGGGGGTGAATATATATTTTTTAAATTCCCGATTGAATGTATTTACCTACATTTTGCAAACAATATCGAGAATATATCCCTTCATCTTAACTTTCTTTTGAATGCAACCCTATGGCTTGCGACCCCTCATTGGAAGTACGTCTTATGGACATCCCAGGGACGTCCCTCATTCAGTAGGAGGACGTCCCTGGATCAGCCTCTGTCGGGACCCGGGCCATACTGGGGACGGTCTGTGGACATCCCTTGGCTTCCAAAAAGGACCTACCAAGGAGTTTCCTTCAGTACGTCCTAGTGAATCCAAGGAAGATCCCTTGTAAGCTCCAGGGACTTTTTGCAATGATATGAAGGACGTTCCTGGGACGAACATAAAAAATTCTCAAGGTACATATAGGTACATACATATACGGTATTATAGAAAGACTATGTGACTTGGTGGTTGGTCCCGCCGGTTGTAGTTCTTAATCCTGGCGCTATCATTAGTATACGAGTCTCTATGTGATTATATCGCTATATACATATTTATATCTAAAATTTCGTAGCAAGTATCGACGAGATGTAAGCAGGATGAAAGTAGCATAAAAATAAACAACGATCACATCTTCAATGATAATTGTTGTTGCATATTGATTCTGTATTCAGGATATACAGGAACATGAATGGGACACCTCAGGGATGTACCAGACGGAACATCTGGAAATACTGAGCAGGACATCCCAGGGATGTCCCTTGTGCCGACAGTACACTTTGGGACATAAAAGGGACGTACCTAGGATATCCCTGTTGTTAAGGCAGTGTATTCGTTGAATTTCAGTTTTTTATACGTTGAGGGTTGCATAACATTGAAATGTAACAATTGCTCAAAATGTGTGTTGAACAATTGATTCCTGTTCAGCTTTCACAAGCCATGGGATTGCATTTGAAGAAAATATGTTGGGACTGATTCAAGTAAGCCCTGAAGGGTTATATTATATTCTTCATATTCTTTGCTAAATGTAGGTAAATACGTTGAAACGTCGAAGTGTCTCGGGAAAAATCATTCACCTTCCCGCTAGCGAAATTTATTCTAGTTGAAGACTCCACCCTGTATGATTATTCACTGTTGTTCAATCGAAAGTTTATTATTTCGACAATTTCCTTTTCGATGCTCATGTTCTATTATCATCTATCGATATGGCTATTTATGTTTCCGTCGTATTTCAATTCGTTACATAAGTGCCTACCTATTTATATATCTATCTACATATTGCTGCCACATAGAAGACGTGGGTGAGCAATTCGATTGTTTAAGCCCTTAATTTTCGTTTTTTGTTGTGATCGTTGTCTATATAATTATGTGCACCTATATCAACAGGATGAGCCAGATTCAAATTATACATGTATGATTTGTGCATGATAATGTTATTTCGTTATACACAACGTTAATTCATAATTTGGTTTTTAATTCCAGCTCCATTTTGAAATCAGTCGATCTTCAGATATACAGGGTGTTATCGAAGTTGGGTCAATTATTTCAACAACATATTGTAGAACTCGTAAAAGTCAATTTACCAATACACCAAAATTCGTTCAAAAAAAAGTTTAAGAATGAGATGGTTATAAATAACATTAGATTATCATCTCCAAGTCAATAAAAAAAAGAAAAATAGGTGAAGAGCATCCTTCAATACAAAAATGTTCAAATTTGTTCACATGTCGTGACCTCCTCCATGTGCCTTCAAATCGAGCATCAAATACCTTGTCGCAGCGGCTGCATCTTGTTGGCACTCCTCGAAGGTAATATTATATTCACTGGTACATTATTGTTGAACATGTGCCAAATCTCACACAACCCATAAATAATATCACGCCCTAGGTAGTTACTGTTTCAAATCGAACATTGCACTCAAAACCGCACAACAAAACAATAATATATAGGCATTTGTAGGTACCCAGTATCAGTTAGTAGTAAACAAAACATTGTATGCTTTTATCAGACAGTGAGCAAAACAATACCTCAAGTCACATCTTGCAGTTTCGCAATACTCAATTTTTCTTTCATTAATTTGTTCTGATACATGTCAAAGTATACTGATCGACTTGTATGATGGCTCTGATAAGAAGGATTTAGTGTTACCTATAGTTATCTAATATTGAAGACGGTTCTGAATTTCATTTCGAAATCCAAAAGTATAATCAATTGCAGATCACAAACTACTTCTGATTTCAAATTTTTTGATTTGATATCGGTAGTTCGTTCATTTGTTCCATTTAACGCGGATGTTTGTTAAAAGGGGTTAGGCTATAATAATGAATTGACCTCTCTTTCACACCTGCATCTCGCCCTGTACATGATCTTTTTTATATCGTCGATAAACATTTATGAAAACACTTTCATTCCATTGTTAACCACATAGGTATGATATACGATGTTGTTTATATGACTAAGCTACCATTTGACTGCGGAAATTAAAATACTAGACCGATGTCTGGTAGACACGGATACGGTTCGCTGCTATAAAAATAACAATAATAAATTATACCTCCACGCATCAGTGGCGTGTCATCCATGGAAACTAGGGAAGCACATCTTTTCTTAGCCAAAAATCAAAATCATTATCTACAGTGTGTCCTTGTTGAGGACATAGCACCCCTGTAAAATCATTATTTTTTTATCGATATGGAAAACATGTTTTTGTTGTCGAGTAGCGCATTCAACAAGTGGGTGATTTCAATTTTGTGGTGTAAACCACGTGTAACCGTGACCACATAATTTTGTTATTTTTTTGAGGCTTCTTGGGTCAATCCGCTGGGAGGAGTGGAAGTTACCCTTAGAATCTCTAACGGTAAGGAGGGTCAAGTAGCACATTATTTTGAATGACGCTCAATCTCCTTCCAAACGGTTCCCTGTTTTACCATTTTCTGTTGTTTCCGAAAATAACCGTGTCAATTAAAAAACTCCACACCCTTGAAATCTTCCTCCCAGTAAATAATAGGTAAAATCGAGAAGATAGGTTGATTCCATTCTCAAGGGGGCACTTTGAATGCATATTTTTAGCCCTCTTGTTTCAACTTCCTAAGAGAAGTAGATGTCACCCTCAGAACCTTATAAAAAGGCGATCAAGATACACATTATTTCGAAAATCGTTCAATTCTCTTTCCAACAGTACCCTAGTTTTTTATTTTCTGATGAGCTGTTTCCAAAAGAAGCCGTTCTAAACTTACAGAATTGATTAGAACATGCCGGCACTGGGATGCATGGTTTTCAGGTTAGTATTATCGTATTGACTTCTTTCAGTTCAAATGGTAGAAACATTTTGAATGCATTTCAGTGCAGGCATGTTCTAATTACTTCTGTGAGTTTTGTTTTTGTTTACTATTTTTTTCCTGAAACCTGTGGTTGAAATCTTTCTGTGTATATAAATCCGGAACACCTAGTATACATACCTGATGCTCATCACTAGAGGTGACTAAAAAAGCTTGAATTGCAGGTGTCCCTATAATCACTTCCGACCTCATCAAGTCTCTCAACTTGGTAATCCTGACAGTGGTGTTAACTCTCCGCGGTGGTTGAACCGCATGACCAAATTTGGAACAGGATTTCCTCAATTCCCCCCTCTGTTTCAGATTTTCTAATTCGGAATCGCATGAAATATATGCAGAATCTGAAAAAAAAACGGATAGATAGGCAGGTACTTTACTTTCTTCATATTCAAAATGCGTCCCATTTTCATCATTCATTGCATCACATACAGACTATTCCCAAATCGTACAAAAATATTTCAAATGTTGCTCCAGAAACTACAAATATGAAAGAATTTCAGTTACACATTGGTGAAAAATGACACTTGGAAGAGTAAAATCTTATCGGAAGTGGGGCCCATAAATATGGTTTCAAATAATTTATGAGTACAAAGTCTTGTTCTGTTTACAATCATGGGTTTTTCTGGAACGTGAGTTTTTTTCTTTGTTAAAGTTTCTTGACAAAATTCCAAATTTTCCGAAATATAATGAACCGTGAGACTTTGTGAGTACTGAAGTAAGTGTGGCTAAGTTGGTTCTGAATGAATGATAAACTCAGTCATTTTCACAAGTGTTCATTGAATGAACAGCAGAAGTAGAAGACGGGAGAAAAACAGCCAATTTCCTGGCGGATGCCACACAGAAACATTGAATTACATTCTCCAAAAATCAATGCAATGATTCGTATTGACAAATACTGATCGCATGTGTTTCTTTCCCAAATGCTGAAATATTTTCGAATTGTAAATCAGATATCTCCTGACACCTACAGACCTGTTTTGGAATCAGCCCTCATCAGTGCAACATAGTCACCAGACAATAGCCCTTATTGTTCGTTCATTGAAAACTTGCATAAATGGTTCAGAGTTTTGTCTTCACTGTTAAATTTGTAGCATTTCATCTATTTTGTAAATCCTATTCCATATTTGTTCGCTTTACAAGATGGAGAACATACTAAAACTTGATCGAACTCCGGGATTCGACGACACATGACAAAAGGTCACACCAGACATACGAATCCGTCAAGTAATTCTGATATACGCGAGTATGACAGGAAGAAGAAGAAGTACATTGCTCGTTGTATTGTCCATCGTTCCGGAATTATATCATGCATTACTGTTTTATAGATCCAAAACATGTCTCGCATAATATAAAATAAGATTCCTTAGCTGAGGAAGATGTAACACAAGGCACTTTATCTACACATCAACGATATCTCTGCACATGACCACGAACCCTCTCCCTCCAGTTTTCCTGACGACACAAGTCGACTAGCGTTATATTCCTTCGATAAATCAATGTCTGCAGCAACTAACCGAAGCCTGAGATTGCAACAGCTGCAGATAGTCAACGCTTTAAAGGCACAAGCAACAGTTTTTTTCGAAGGAGGCTAACCAAGCGGGTTCTAATGTCTCTTTCATGTCAAGAAGCAGTATTTCACCTCATATCAGCTTTTGACACTCACAATGCTCAGATTCGAGCATCTCTTGATCCAAAATAATCCCTGACGATGCTGGAGTCGATTCAAACAAGAGCCATCAGGCTTTTCAATGATCCAACTCTGACAAAATCACTGTACACCTTTACAACATCGGAGAAACGTTGCGGACCTACCATGACTCTTCTATCTTTTTTATCATGGACAGTAATGCTCTCACGAACTTTCAAGAGCTTTCATGGATTAACGTTATTTAATTTTGGCTCAAGTTCCACACCCGTTTGCAGTTGGAATTGAAACTCCTTGATTTAACATTTTTGCTTTCAATTCCTGTGACACTAAGGAAATTGGAATTCTGAGAGCACATTTCGAATCGTCAAGATCTTCAACACATGAATATGAATTCGCGAACAGGTTGAAATGAGAACTGCATCTCGAAAACAGTGCGTGTTCGCACTCATATCAATATACTGTTTCTCTTAGAATTAGCCAATCCCAACAACCTTTATATTTGTGAGGTGGAAAACTTTACTGTCAAGAAAATTGTAGGTTTCACCAGACGTCTGGGGTTAAAGATGACCATTATACAATCTAATAGTTGCTACATCGTGGTTTGGCGGGGGACTGGTATACCCTGAAGGATCTGGTTCTGAAGGTGATGATGGTGCAGGTGTAGCAGATCGCTCCAGGGTACTCTCATCATATATCTGGTGGTATATATATATTTCCTCTGCTAACGAATACATTATTCTACGTAGTTGATGTAAATACACCTAAGTACTGTGACAAATCAAGAATCGAGTTGAACCGTGCTGACAAAATTAATAACTCACATTGGATAGGACTGCCCCACGCCAGGCAGTGTAGTTTGTTTCTTCTAGGGATGCGCAGATTATGAGTTATTTACGAGAACCGACAAAGAACATAATTTTCTTGCAAAAAATGCAACTTGGTCTATTTCTAACTTGTTTTAGCTCCTCACCCGTTAGTCCTACATTTATGACCAAGAACAATTATAGAGGGTTACTGGTAATTCGATAAATTCCTTTGGAGATGTGATAGGAGAGGTGGAAAGGAGTGAAATAAACCCTAATATGCATTAAGCAAAAGTTAATAGTTTGGAGATATTGAAATTTTTTCTGTTTTTCCCCAAAAGGTAGACTTTAGGGGTTTGAGAGTTAGTTTCTCGAAAAATTGCTCCACATTTTTTCAACCTTTCAACTAGAATTCATGATCAACAGAATTGTCTCATGTTTGGGATGAAAAAATTCCACAAATAACTTAGATTATAAATGAATTGTATATAAATACAAAGTCATATCCTTGTTTGTGTATTGTGGATTGCAACCACATTCTAGCGATTATTTTGAGCAAAATCACATCACATTTGTCAGAAATCTGTACAAATGAAACTAAAAGTGCTTGATATAGATTTATTATTTTGAAGGAATAGTAAAAAAATTTTCTTGAAAATGCCTATCAGTATTCATTTTTGAAGATACAGCATCCAAATAGCATAAAAAATTTTCATAACCTTCATCATTGGGCCGAAGACAACCCCCGTTTACAAGGGAAACTAGTTTCCAACGGAAGTTTTCTGTAAATGTGTGGATGGGACTCATTGACCGTTATTTAATAGGACCACATTTTTTCTTGACAATTTGAACGAGGAAAAGTATGAACATTTCCTACGGCATCGTCTTCAGCAGGTTCTTGAGGATGTTCCTCTCGCCATCAGAGGACGAATGATATTCCACAAGACGGTTGTGCAGCGCATTATCGGCTGACCGTTCGACAGTTCCTGGATGAACGTTTTCCTGACCGTTGGATTGGAAGGTCAGGTTCAATAGGTTGGCCAGCGAAGCCCTGACCTAACCCTCCTTGATTATTATGTGTAGGGTCATATGAAACCGCTAGTTCATGGAACCCCAGTAAATACCCGGGAAGAACTCATTCAAGTGATAACAGACGCTGCCCTACACCAACTTTCAGAATTGGTGTTCGATGCCTACACATACAAAATAATTTGACAACTAGAATAACAAAGACGGAAAAAAAAGAAGACGCTGCCGAACATGTATTCGTAATAGAGGTCTCACTTTGAACAGGATTTGTAAATAGTTAATACTATTAGAAGTTTTTCAAGTACGTTTTTACTATTCATTTAGAAAAACAAACCCGTATCAAGCACTATTTTTATCATTTGTACCCAATTAGATAGCTATTGCATTAAGAGACTTTCAGGAAATCTTTGACAAATGTGGCTTAGATATATTTAAAAAAAAACGATAGATAGTGGATATTGCATAGATATCTGGATTTTTTCCATTCCCAACATATGACCATATAGTGTTGATCATGTATTTTAGTTGAAAGGTTGAAAAAATGTGCAGCAGATTTTCAGGAAACAAAGTTTTAAACTCTTGAAGTCTGCCTTTTGGAGATAAACAGAAACATTTAAATATCCCAAAAACTATTAACATTAGCATAATGGATTGAATCGACTCCTTACCACCTCCAGTAACCCTGTATATAGAAATTGGTATTCACTTGAACCTTTTTTATTGTGGTTTTTCCGCTTGAATGTATAATTCCCTAGTTACGGATTATTCAATTATAATCATAAATTTAATTACCCCCTTGTACTTGCAATATTTGTTATATATCTTTTGTTGCTATATTATTTCCCACATTTACATTAAGTCTCTCGTGATGCTGTTCAGTGAGTCGGATGAAATCTGCTCAATGCCTGTAAAACGTTATTACTTATATTTTTTGACGTTTTACTGTCACATACAGATTGAAAACACCGAACTTGACAGGCCAATCAGTTCAGCGAGTTCAGAAGAGTCAAGTTCGGTGATACTTGAGCTTCTGATTGGTTCATTTGATAACTGCCTGAAATAGTCCTTGTTCCACGGCAGGCAATTGCTGTCCCTCGGGCCAGAGGCCCTAGGGACGCAGACTTTGCCCTTGAGACATGATACATAAATAACTATAATAATACCGAACGATCAAAAATACAAATTGGAATACTATTTTCACAAACCCTGTACTCTCTATTTATGCCATTCATCCATATCCAAACCTTCAAATTATATGTCAATCATAATTATTTTAATTGTCAAAGTCTGTTGTGGAAGGTTCATCTATAATATAACATGGAGTCTGAATTAACGAAGAAGGAATTCACAGCACCTTATGTAATATCGTTTATTACGGAATTAATTGGTAGTGCAATCATGATATTCATGGGTGAGTACATTTTCCGATTTCATACTGAATCACTGAATTTTCTACAAATATACCTTCTGAACCTGATTCCATTCATTTCTATTCCGATTATGAACGTAAGCAAAACGAACGCTGATAGGGGTATAGCTAGAAATTATATTTTCGAATAATATTCACTCGTAAAAAATGTCAAGTGAGTCCTGTAGATGCAGAGGCCACTATACAGTGTGTTTCGCTTTTCATGAATACACCCTGATATCTCATCAGTTATTAATAATGAGTTTTTCTTGAAATTTTGATGGTGATTGTACGAGCAAAGACTTTTTGGGTTTTTAGGGAAAAGGGTAGAAGGGCATATTTAAGATGAAATTTTCGAAGTGAAAACTTCTGTAGGCACGTTGAGCATTTTGTGCAGGTTGTGAGGCACAAACTGGAATGTGTGATAGATCTCATCATTTCAATCAAAAAAGTTTATGTAAACATGACTCTGATCTCGATCAGTAGCGCAGCAACAAGATTAATTATTTTTTTCTATAAATTAGAATTTCTTGCTCTCTACATAAGTTATCAATTTGAAATTCAGTGAGGTAGAGGTAGAGGTAGGAGATCATTATTTCAACCATTTTCAATATTTCAAAAATCAACAGAGTGATACATTTTTGGAGGTACAGGTTTCTGTACCCCCCCCCCAAATTTTTTGGTATACCCCTTTAATATCATATAGTTACCGGATTATGTGAATTGTTCAATCTAGAGACTTTAATTGCTCCTCACTTTGTTTCGAGAAGCAAACTGTTTTCGAAATTAATAAGCATATCCGTTCCAAAACATGTTGAATTTTCATACGTCTTGTTTTAATTTTATTCTTGAAGAAAATATAACCAACTTGAAAAACGAAAAAAACCTTGACCATCTCCGCTACTGATTCAGTTTCTAATTTTAGTACATTTCATTGTATTTTCTACGAATTTCGTCCAATAGTAACATTTAAGCGGAACAATATAGGCAAAATTAACATGTTTCTAGAACGGATATGCTTATTCATTTCGAAAACGGTTGGTTTCTCGAAATGAATTACAAAAAAGCCAGAGGCGTACTACGAAAAAGTTTGTGGGGGATAAGGAAGCATCTACCCCGAAAAACGTATCATCCTGTAGATTTTAAAAATCTAAAATATGCTTAAGATTATGATCTTCTAGGAATCATCAACCACACACGATTTCTACTTGATATCTTCAAAAGTAAGCGAGATATATTGATTAAGAGAAAAACATAATTAGACTTTGACCCCCTGTAGCTCCGTTTCTGATCGAGATCGGACCCATTTCTATTTGTGCCTTTAAATCAGAATCACCCTGTATATCCAAATATTATGTATGACTGACTATATTTCAATAGATTACTAATTAGTGATTCCAGTAATTTTTTTTAACCATAGCTAGAAATCGAATTATCCCAGCAAGAAACTCTAGCATAGGGGACAAGCGAGTTATCACCTGTGGTTATAAAGTAGACTTTGCTGATTATAACTCACTTGCATCTGTATATTGCTATTAGACGATGTTTCTGTAGTAGGTATCTGACTTTGCTATCGCTAGTGAGTGCATCTAATAATGGGAATAGGGCGATGTTATAATCGTAGGTAGGGAACTTTGCTAATCTTGATGGGTGCTGGGTATAGATAATTGCATGACCTTCTTGCTGAATAGTTCTCCAGTTATTTTACAGGATTGTTGTCATAAAGAAACACACTTCCTATAATTATCACTCTGTTTGGTATGAATGGCAATTTTTTGATTCCTAAAGAAAATTTCAGACCAAATATCTTTGAAATTCAATAGATATCAATTCATCAACCCTCAGGAATAACAAAAGGTTTTTGAGTGATCAATGAAATGAGGATTTTTTTTGAAAATTTCTGAAACCAATGTATTTCGAAAACTAGGCAAGTTATTATTGATGCATATACAGGAAATAGGAATTTGATCACGACAAGTTCTGAAACCAATTAGGCAATTTTAAAGTTTCATTGGACCAATTTGGATTAGGAGAACATTTCGAATGTAAAATATCACTATTTCTGTCAAAATACTTTGAATATACTCACCCTCATCATCCGTTTCTTTTGTTTGAAGATGTTTTCATGCATTCTTCATTTGAATTCAGATTCGGATTTTGAATAATAAATTGGAATTAAGGCTGGAAGTAAGTTACTGTCGTGTCGTCGTGATTGTCGTCCTATACATGGGTTTTCATAAACAGCCCAACTGGCAATGATTGTTTATGTTTTTGAGGCGTAACATGTCTAACAAACGCTCATAGAGGGGTGGAAATAAGCAAAATATTGAATAACGATAAGTAGGCGCTGAATAACGCCAAGTAGGTTCGTCAAACACTATTTTCGTGGTAAGCTGACTGTTACATTATTTTTGATTTGCATTATTGGTAGTGAGTGCAGTTCTATGCGACGAACCTCGCAACCATAGGCATATAACTCACTAGTAGTAATTCAGCTAAATGGTTATGAAAATAATAATGCTATTCCAAAGTGGCTGCCTGATAACGACAGCAGTGTACCTTCCTGTGGCAGACAATTCACTTTCAGCAAAGTCGTTATTGCTAATGTGTAACTGTAATAGAAATGCCTATAATGGTAGCAGGAAATATCTCAGTAAAATTTTGGTGGTTTCATCCTATGACACATTGAGTAATATTTTGGCGTACCCCTATCAGATCCAGTAGCATTGATTTCTCATTCACATCAACAATATCCACTCAACCTCTTCATACCTATTTTCCCTCCTTGCACTTGATAGTTCTTACGCACCTATACAGGGTGATTCAAAAGTAAGCGGCATTCTTCCAGGGCTTCACCATAGAGACTATGGGCGTATTCCTTGCATAAAAAAGTGGCAAAAGGTTCATATCAGTAAGGGTCCGAAAATGCTTCCTAAGGAAGCTACGCCCCATTCAATAGGACACCTCAAAGACGATTTTTTTTCTATAACTTCAAAATCCTTCACAATAAATCTTCGAAAATTGGTATACGGCATGAACATTTGATGGTAAATGAGACTCTGAATTCAACATTGAAAAATTTCATTCAGGGGCGTCACATGCGAGGGAAAGTAAGTGTAAAAACATCCATTTTTCTTTTGATATTCAGAGGTTATTGTGATTTCGTTTGAAAATAAAAAAATTCTCGAGTTTTCACGTGAAAAGGTTTTCTTAGTTCATTTCGATAAAGCGTACCATTTAGGAGGAAATCGACTTTGAGAACTTTCTGATTTTCGTAATAAATCACAATAACTTGAATATCAAAAGAAAAAAGGGTGTTTTTACACTTACGCTTGCCCGCATGTGACGCTTCTGAAACAAATTCTCAAATTTTGAATTCAGAGTCTTATTTAACATCAAAAGTTTATGCCGTCCACCAATTTTCGAAAATTTATTGAGAAGAATTTTGAACTTATAGAGAAAAAATCGTCTTTGAGGTGTAATATTCAAAGGGGCGTAGCTCCCTTATTGCCTTATTTTCATGCAAGGAATACGCCTCTGGAAGGATGCCGCTTACTTTTGAATCAGCCTGTATAATGCTCATTGTCTTTATATCATATTTGATTATTCAAGCAGGATAGATAGATACACTAAGTGCATGATTTCAGTTCAGTGCATGGAAAACTGTTTCATTTCGAACAAAAAGTTTAATTTGAATTTTGAGAAACGATTAAGTAAACATCCTTAAGTATTCATAATAATGTTCGATCCATTTTAACATCTCCACACTTTTCTCCTAATCTGATGCATATAAAAAAGTTTGTTGAAAAAACCACCAAGTGTATACAGTCTGTCCAAGAGGTTGAACAGCATGGGGATCTCGGAAACGGTAGGAGATACGAAGTCGCTTAAATGGGAAAAAAGTTGCGCATTCGGAGGCTCATATCAAGAGCCTTCGAAAATTTTGAAAATTATTTTTAGTTTTTGAGTTATATCGAAAAAAGTGAATTTTTGGAATTTCTATTTTATTTTTTTTCTCCGTTATTATCAGAGATACAGAAAAACTGTAAATACTTTTTCATTGCAACTTTTGATGAGGTTTAACGTGGTGATACCGATTTTTTTATGCGACGTTTCGTATTCGTGGAACCATCATCAACTTTTGTTTTTTAAATACGGTCCTGATAATTTTTTCACAGATTCTGAAAGGTTTTTTTATTCTGAATTCAACAATGTACTATACAAGGTGATTCGAATGTGTTTCGACCTATTTCTATCCATCATCAATGTTTTTTCGAACTTTCAAAAGAAAAAAAGCCATCAGTTCCACTTATTTCTTATCATTTAGTGTCAAACTTGATGGATTAGTTATTCAATACTGAAAAGTGAATAAAAAATATTTCACTACATCATTCGATCAATGCAGCGTTTAAAATTGTTGATGAATTCTTACACGAATTACTTTAACAACTTAACTTTGACAATACCTACAGAGACATTCATAACAAATGTTCAAAATGATAACCATTATTTTCTGAACAAAGATATCCTCTTCTCACAGTTGTTTCTAAGACATTGCTAAGCATTTCTGGGGTTATTCTATTGAATGCTTCGAAGACACTGTCACTTAGTTCTTCTTCATCCTCAAAGTTATTTGCGTGTACAAAGTTCGATATATCCCCTAAGAAAAAATCCAGCTGTGTTAAATCAGGCGACCGCGCCGGCCAAGGGATAAAAACGCACGGACTTCTCTGGAATTATGTACCGGAGCGCCATCTTGTTGAAACCAACAGAGTTCTGAACTTCCGCAATCGGTAAATCATCCAGAGCTTCCTCAAGATGATTCTCAAGCGAATTTCTATAACGTTCGGAAGTCTGTGTTTCATGGTAAATAGAAGGAACAATAATTCGTGTACCAAATATTGCAACCCAAATATTAAAGCCGAAACGGTGTTGGTGTCTCGCTGTAATGTATAAATGTTCATTATCTCGTGAACAATAATGTGTATTTTTTCTATCGAAGCTACCATGATTAGTGACCATGCTTTCATCAGTCCAGATGATTGTTCGAGAGAAATCTGCAAAATTTTAACATTTCCTGGTATACCACTCACAGGATGTCTTGCGCCTTTCGTCATCTCCTGGTTTTAGCGCTTGACATATTCTGAATTTGTATGGATGGAATTTTTGTTTCCGCAAAATGAAATGGGTTGTTGATTGAAACCAGTTGATGAGGTATTAGTGTGTTGACTAATTTTCCTTCAAAATAAGTGGAACTGATGGCATTTTTCCTTTGGAGTTTCGAAAAAACATTGATGATGGATGGAAATAGGTCGAAACACAAATGAACCACCTTGTATAATACATGGTTGAATTCAGAATAAAAAAACCTTCTAGAATCTGTGAAAAAATTATCAGGACCGTATTTAAAAAACAAAAGTTAATGATGGTTCCACGAATACGAAACGTCGCATGAAAAAATCGGTATCACCACGTTGACCGTCATCAAAAGTTGCTATGAAAAAGTATTCTCAGTTTTGCTGTATCTCTAATAATAACGGAGAAAAAAAATAAAATAGAAATTCCAAAAATTCACTTTTTTCGATATAACTCAAAAACTAAAAATAATTTTCAAAATTTTCGAAGGCTCTTGATATGAGCCTCCGAATGCGCAACTTTTTCCCCATTTAACCGATTTCGTATCTCTTACCTTTTTCGAGATCCCCATGCTGTTCAACCTTATCTTGGACAGACTGTATAGTGCTCCTTATGGATGTAAGGGAATTGTTTGCTACATTAACTAACCACGACTTATTTTATTCCTTGGGTGCATATTTTTTCTTATCGCTCATTCAATAACCTGATAAAAATATTTGTTCCAACAGGATGCATGGGGTGTATAATGGGATTCGATTTGGGTCCCGTGATTCCTTCATTTTCTTTCGCATTCTCTGTAATGATGCCAATCCAGATATTTGCCCACATAAGCCCTGTCCACATGAACCCAGGAGTATCTATAGGCTTTGTCATTTTGGGACTGATGGAATGGAAAAGATTCTTGGTGTATGTTTTCGCTCAGTATATTGGTTGTTTCTGTGGATATGGATTACTAAAGGTGAGAATAAGTGAAACCGAACTATTAGTAAAATAATGAAACTTTCATCAGCGTTCACGGAGATCCTATTTTTCCCATGATAAATTATACCAATCAATATAAGTGAAGCAACTGCTTCAGGGTGGCTGTGAAAACAGGGCGAAAGCTTCTTGAACGAAAACGAAATAATTCAAGTAATTTTATTCGCTCGTCACTTTATTAATTGTTCTCCCGTAAGGTGGTATTTTCAGAGTATGGAAATTTGTATTGGAATATTTCATCATTATCGGAATATTATCCTGAATTTAAGTTCTCGAAAAATACTGAATACTTAACCCCCGACAGAAGAATAGAGCGATAAAATTTAGTTTATTTATGTTTCAATATGAACCTTTTTCAAAAAGTGTTTTTCTAATTCACGTCAATTTATGCTTTGTTAGAGAAGATACGTATTCTCATCACTTTTTTTATTTCTTGGAGTACACGAAAGGAAATTCCTATAATGGGAGGATGGGAGAGTGGATTTTTGTAGAACTTTTGGAGGTAATGAGTTTGTGGCGGATGACCGTGACTTATATCCTTAGATCATCGATATTAGCATATATCACAGAATATTTGTTTACTCAATCTAAGGTTTTGTGATAGGTCGAAATGTGTTTTGACTGTTCTGTGTCAATCTCGATACTTTTCTAGTTTGGTATTCGGTACTTCAGGATTTTTCAGTGGTTGACAAGTCTAACTGACGACACAATAATTATTATTATGCCTTTTTTCCTCCAAGTATTTCGAAAAAGTTTTTTATGTTGAAGCCAATAATAAAGTATGTGAATTTACTTGATCAAACATCTTGATATTTAATGTTGAACTTCTGAATGGAGTATATGGATGTGGATTGGTAGATCGTTGATATCAAGGTTTCTGATTCCAGTCTGCCAACGTGCCACGCCATAAGTTCTTGAAAATACTTTCAGTGGCAAGGAATTCCAAAGCTTTGCGTTCTATGAACGAACGAGTTCTGATAAAGTGTTGTTGATCTTTCATAAGACGTGCCATTTTTTCAATGGAGTTTTGAATTGCTTCTTGAGGAATATTTTCCTCTTCCCCAAGAAGGTCTGTTCGCAGATCTGGCAATGTTTGTGGGTGTCGATTTCGAACACGTCTACAGCATTGTCCATACGTATTCAATTGCATTCAAATCCGCACTACGCGGTGGCTGCTCCAATCGCTGAATATTCAGCTCAAGAGGCCTGGCATTATCTTGCATCAAGAGAGTGTTGACTGACTGACTTCCTTGGACTTTATTCGCCCCTTCGTTATGATCATCCTGAATTTCACAATATCAAAACTCGTTCGTCTAATAACGTCTAATAGAATAGCAAAGCTTTGGAATTCTTTAATGCAAATGGAAGTATCCCAAGAACTTATAACATTCAAAAGTTCCAAAAAAAGTCCAACACCTATACCTCTTCTCCCCATTCCTCCCTAGGTACGCACGATATTCTTCAAACATCATACGAATTTTCTTTCGTGCGCTCCAAGAGATAAAAAAACATTGAAATTCTCCAAATAACTTTCAAAAAGTCGATTAAAAGCAAGTCAATTAAGAGGGAGCTTCATTTCTTTTAGAAGAGGATTGAATGGCTGGTATGAATATATTATCGGAAATTATCGTTGCCTCACGACTGTTGGTTACAATTTTCTCAATGATTTGAATTTCATATATAATCGATTATTGAAATCAATTTCCATAATGATGGCTCTCGAAGGCATGATCATTAATGAGATTTTCATTGATAAGAATCATGAAACAAACCAATATATTATTGTAAAACTCACGCACAGGTATACCCTATTTCATGTAATATCATCTAATCATCATGTAACCACCATGGAATCACATGGAATTCCATGAAATCATTATGTAACCATTATGTAATTACCATGGAACCATATATGAAATCCCATGAAATCATCATGTAATCAGCATGTAATCACCATGAATTCATGAAATCTCATGAAATCATAATGTAATCAACATGACATCCATGAAATCATCATGAAATCCCATGAAATCACCATAAAATCCCTTGAAATCTTATCTATGTTATCATGAAATCAGTGGAAGAGTTCGACCATCAGTAATCACCCCCTCGGATGATGCTGGCTGTGGCCTGTACTGACCATTCTAGGATACGTCGATATCTGAATGGCAATGGCAATATCAATTCGCGATGATTGAATAAATGATGGAAACTGCCAAGGCCTAGGATGTCAGTAGCGTTTGGGGAGTATACTTGCCATGAATTTTGGAATGGTGGGGGGAGTGCAGCGTTGCTAGTTATCGCTTCTTTGTTCGAATCCGAATACCAGTTCAGAAAGAATTATTATAATCAGCGCGGCAAGTGCGGAAACAACGCCTAAATTCTTTCTTCATTCTACAACAATTACTACAACTCGTGGGGTAGTTGACTGTGCGTTTCAATCCTTTTTTTCAATTCTGTTTTCATAAGTGATTTCCCGAAATTAGGTTCATATAGGCCGAATGTAGATGGTTCTGAAAAAGTTGCGTCCTTTTCAATGAAGGAGGGACAATTTTCTTCCTTCCTGAAAAAATCACTGTCTTTTTAGGAAGCAGGTTCATTTAGGCCGAGTGAGGTTGAATGGTTTAACAAAAGTACTGTCTTTTTTATGCAGGCAGGATATTTTCCTTCTTCCCTGAAAAAAAGTACTGTGGACGCATTTACTGTTGAGAACAAATTTTGACAACATTATTTTCTACAGTAAAGCTTCCTTTTGGCCGAATTAGGCTGTTTTGTTTCAAAGGACAGTATCTTTCAACTTCCATGTGAATTCATAATTCATGAATATTCTATTTTCCCATTTTTTGGTTATCTTATCAGTTTAAGATCATTAAAGTACTATATTCTTCAAGTTGAAGAAAATCAGCACGATCCGGTAACATTGATATGACTGACACGGGATTACGCGAAGTCCCCACCACTCTAAGGGACGTTCTTTTATTCACCGGTGGCTCCATCAATCCACCAACTGTGTTCATATATTCTTTGGTGGATTCCAGTTTGACGTAACCATGCGTTCATTTATTACTGTTGTGTCAACCAAAATTGCAAATCATTCAGGGATATGGTGGACGAATTTTGGTGGATTGTTCCAAAATGACAGGTAACCTCAAAACTAAAATCAAAATATTGGAATAGCCGTTGGCCATTTTCCTAACAAAAAATATAATAAAAGAATAGCTGCATGATTGACACCAACAGGAATTGTCCTGAATTTCAAGAAATTAGTGCAAATATTCAGGAAACTTGAGTACCTACCAACAGATAATTCTTATTGATGACTCAATCCATATCATCATAATTTGAATGCAATGTTTTGTGTATATAAGTTGTTGAGGATTTTCAACCTATCTCGTTTACTCCCCAACATAAACAATATTTCATTCTCGAAACTATCAGAATTAAGAACTGCTAGAACTACTGGATCTGGAGACAAGGAGTACAAGGACTCCAATTACACTTTTAATACTTCATTTTCCATTTTCCATTAGTTCTGGGCTTCTAATTGAAAACAATCTACGTCCCCATCAAATGACGAAAAAATAAATAAATAAAGAAAAAAACAGTTGTGAATGTCATGTCAAATAACTGCGTTTTTTTTCAACACTGATGACTCCAACAATTCGATTCATCAGAGAGTGAACATGCCTAACACTATTCCATCTCATGACGCACACTCCGCAGACGCAAGTTAGGATGTCAGTCACACTTGATGTCATAAATGACACCTCGCAGAGGTCAGTCAATTGAATAATTCAAATTATTTCAAAATAGTTTCTTGTATTTCAGAAAGCGTCAATTGGAGTTCAGAATAATCAATTCAGTTTTAGAAAGCGTCAATTGTATTTCAGAAACGGTAGTCAATTGAATTTCAGAAAGTGTCATTAGTATTTCAGAAAATACTTATTGACATTCAAATCACACTTTCTGAAATGCATTTATCTCTCTGAAATAACTTCTTCAAGTTTCATTCAAATATTACGATCGAACTGAAATATTCTCGTAGGATTATTATTTAGTGTATCCCAGTTGATGAATAATAATCAAGAATTAGTGGGGTATATAAAGATTGACTTCAACTTGCATATCGAAATGAACAAACAATATCATCACCCTGTACTTATCAATGATAATAATAATTATCTATTTCTTTTCAGCTCGTTACTACCTATCTTGAAGGAATGTGTAAACTCCACTTGAAATATGGCATAAATGTCGCTCAAGGGTTTTTCATGGAATATTTAAGCTCTTTCATCCTGTTCCTGGTAGTTTGCGGTGCAATAGACAGAAAAAATGCAACGTTAAAAGACTCGTTTTGCCTACGATTAGGATTCACGATATGCGGAATAGTTTTCGCCTTGGAGACATTCACTGGAGCAGGATTGAATTCAGCTAGAAGTCTTCCACCCGTCATTTTCGACATGGACTTCACTGATCATTGGCTCTACGAGGTTGCTCCTAATTTGGGAATGGCTACTGCTGCCGTCATATACCGATTTGTTTTGGATGCTAATGAATCTAAATCATTTCATTCCTTCCTACTAAAGAAGTTTAAAACCCACGAAATTGATCAGTTATGAAAACACTTATTAGGTACCTGCCTATATATACCATATGAATGTAGACGAACTGAAATAAATGTGATAAGAAGTTAATGCATTTTTTCAATTTTCACATTGATAGTGCTACTGTTCAGATCTAAACTGGAATATGTGTGAAGGTCTGACACAATATTTTGTAACCCCTTGAGATTTTGAAGAGATTTCGCAGTTACTGGTATTAGAATATCTTATATCGACTAGAACGGTAAGATAGGTATCCAAAATACTCTTCAAAACACGGTACACGTACACGATGTTTCGCTAACACAGTAGCTTCTTCAGGTATAATACTTGTTCAATGAATTAATTTAACATTCATAAATATTGTACTTTCGACCCAAAGTATCAATAAAGTTACCTGCGAGCAGGCTAACTAATCCTTAATTTCGGAAACTATATTCCAAATTGCTTGATTTTGGCAGTTCTTCCTCAATTCTAGAACAGTAAGAGAAAAACTGACCTATCCTTTGAAAAAGGAGTCTAGCGCTTGACTTTGGTGAAACATCGATCAGTGAAAACTCCGATATCCTTAACAGTTTTGAAGATATAGGTATGAAAATTGACATTTGAACTATTTCGAAATAATATCATTTTTATTATATTGGATATTTTTCCAAACGAAGAACACTTAATATAGGCACTTCTTCAATAAAAAAGTTCACTTTGATATCATACAATTGATAAGCGATATATTTTTTTGGAAAAAATCCAAAAATAATAAATTCATAACATTTCAGAATTGGTCAACTGACAAAAAACAAGCTCTAAACTGTCCAACCAAGTTTCACCAGCGGCTTCTACGACCAAAAATAATAAGAAAAGTTCCAATGACCATGAGTCGACAAAATGTCTCCCAAAGGAGCTACAGCCCCCTGCAAGGGGGCTCTGGAAGATGACATATCTTGCATATTTCCGAAACACCATGTGATAAAATGATGCAATTGGTACAAGAACTTAACTTTTTAAGCACAATGCAGTGAAATTGATATTGAAATTTCATTCAGGAGAGTATGATGCAGGGTGGGACTACATTGAATATTGCTCAAACTGTTTGCATATTTTTCGACAATTTGATCTCGTATTATGAAAATCCACACCCCTTTATAGAAAAAAGGTGCTTTTGTTCCGTATCGACCAGATGTATCATTCGAGTAGAATTTATTTAAAAATATGGTTACATCTCACATATTATGCATAACATAGTTGTCTATAATAGTGAAAATGGAAAAAAATGCAAACAAATTGAAGAATTGAAGTAATTCTTCATCATAATTTTGTATTTTTCGCGCCTTTATGAAATTGTTTTTTCCTGTGACTGGAAAAAAGTTCGGCATTTCACCTCTGTTGGCAGGTTATAAAATGTCACTTTCCATAAATTACTTTTTTTTCCGTAGGAAAAAAGAGTACTTTCTTCCCGGATATATATCACATACATATACACTGTTGATGCCTTTTGTTGTGCTTTAGCTCCGAAAAATGAGTCAATAATACCGTCCCCGAGAAAGAACTGCAAGTCCCTTTATATTCCATTCGACTTCGCGGTTACGTATATTACTAAACAACCACTAAATTCGCAATTTTTTGGAATCAAATCACAGAATTTCACTGACAGAACTGACATCAGATATTTGGTTACTTCTAAAGAATGATAAAGATGTCTACAACGCAGGTGTCCCTACTGTTAAAAACTTAAAAGTTCACGTCGATAATTCTCAGATTTCAAAATAATGTAATATCTTCTCAATATTGATTCGTCCTTTCTTCTGTCACAAAAAAAATAGTGTATTATACACGGGAAAAATATTAGATTTTAGCTTACGGTTTTTTGTCTCCCTCCGCTACCCGTCGGGAGACAACACAACCTGGAGCTAAAATCTACTACTTTTTTCCCTTGTATAATAAATAGCTATTGTTATTGAAGAGAAAGTAGTAGTTTTTTTAGAGCCACTATGATTCGAAAGTTGGCAACTTTATCATATTATTTGAAATGTAACAATATTTTTGAATCGATTTCACTCGATAATGCATGATACATCTTATCGATACGGAACAAGGGCATCTTTTTTCTTTAAAGAGGTGTGGATGAATATGCATATAAGAAAGGTTTGAGCAAAATTCACACCTCTACGGTCGATAGTGCAAAACATTAATATTTTGCATTGCACATGAGATATGGAAAAGCAACTATACAAAAACATTTGTCTTCAAGTATCAAGTCCACTGATTGCAATTTTTATAAAAATTTATTTACCCATTATTATTGTGGTGAACTTGTCGCAGTCTGGACATTATATTTCCGCTAGATAACATCGTATCCACACTATATATACAATACACGTACAAGAAGTGCAAGTTCGCAAGTAGGTATTGTGTCAACGACTGTAGCAGAAATGGCATCGCAGAAAGCCCGTGACCCAAGTTCCAACCAACTTCTCGAGTACTCCACTAAACAAGAGGTTAGTATACCTAGGTCTGTTTTCATGTTATCTCAAAGAAGAATCAACTAATAGGCATAAGTATACATTATAATCCAGGCATCTGGTGACGGAAAGCACGGGATTCAGGAAAAAATTGCTAAAGAATTTTTAACGGCGGATCTACGTATATGGTGTTTGTGGTGCTGAATCTGAAAATCTAGTTATCGTCTATATTCGAATATGCCTCCACCACGAAAATCGCAATAAACCATGAAAATTCGGAACTTATCTTGATTTTCTGCTTATAACTCCGAAACGACGTGATTCATAAAAGAAATACCTTCATACAAAAATGAAAGCCTATAAAATTTACTGAGAAACAAAATCAAAATCGGCTCGATATCTTGTTTGATTCAGCTGCTAGAGCGCCCTGCTGAAAATTGACAAAAGTTTTGAAGTTTGTCCAAAATATTCGTATTTCAGATTTATATTAGTATACATCGCCAGCCTAGTGTTACCGCCTAGCGTGTCCCACCATGGAGTATCCGGAACCTCCTTCCTTAACATTTATTTTATGCCTCCTTTTTTAATTTTCCTCCAAATCAAAAATATACATCAATCACGCTTCATTCTGAATCTAGCACGAAAATTGAAATTTGCCTAGTACAACCCCGATTGTCACACAGTTAGTTTCAAAGTGGCTTTTTTCAAAATTTATATTATTTTTCCATTTTTCGTGAGTCAGTTGAAATGCCGAACGATAATTTTTGTACACTTTGTGATAAGCCGCTGGACGATGAAACCGAAATTGTGAGTGTGCAGAGTGGGTGCAGATGTTTGAGAGATCAGGGGGGCAATTCTCGAATGTATTCGACTGACATTTGTATACATTTTGGTAGTGGTGCGCATGCTTTCAATAAAAGTCGATTCTCGAACCATACGTTCTTATTTCTAATGATTTGTATCAGGGCCTACTCTAAAAGCAGGCCCTGTTTATATGGTAATGCTCCGATAGTCGTTCAGCCGGGCCACATAGCGTTTAGTCTTAGTCTATACGGCCCGGCCAAACGACTACCGTTTTCGTTCAATTCAGCTTCTCAGCTGATTGTTATCTAGAGTCAGTTTATCAGAGGTAAGGGGAGGGAGAGGCAGTTATTCAGGGGGTTCCCTGAATACATCGCTGGCCTCATATATCAGCCCATGTTTCCTACGGATGCCATGATCTGCCCTTATTCTCGTTATATCACTTGTGAGTTCGCTATTCTGAATGTATGGTGTTCATAAAATTTATTTGATAAATCAAGATGTAATCTTTAATCAAGGGCAGATCACTCGAGTGTATCTATTACCGTTAGTAATGATCCGGAATACCTTGTTCTGTAGCACCTGTAGCCTATTCAGTTGAGTGGTGGAGGCGCTACAGAACACTGGATAAGCGAATGTAATCACAGGTCTTATCACTTGTTAGTCCGGAATTCCTGGCCAACAATGAATACAATTGTCTTATGGCTGCATGGCCTTTACCAATTTATTTGCTGATGTTACCTCTGAAGCACATTCTCTTGTCCAGCACTACTCCCAGGTATTTCACTGAGGTGTTGACCGTCACCCTTGCGTCTTTGACAAGCAAAGGCCCGTGTATAGTACTGTTGGTATATTTTTTAGTGAAATTCATCAACTCGCCATTCTTCTCATGATTGACACGGATCTTTGCATTGTCAAAATACGGTAAGATTTTCCTGTCCAGATGGATCTGGATCTGAGTCCTGGCGACGTCTGAACTGTACGAATGTGCGTATACGTCAGTGTCAATGGCGTACAGTGCAGTACTCGTACGCTCAAACACTAGAAAATCATAAGTATATAAAGAGTACAACAAGGGTGACTCGACCCCTGTGGAACACCTGCCTCGAGTGGCTGACTTGTTGAAATTGTATTATTGATTTTGATTTTTATCTTCCTATGGGCTGAATACGAGTCCACGATCTTCACAACAAATATCGGCAGCCCTGCCTTCTTGGATATAAAATCTTCATGCTATACCGTATCGAAGGCTTTCTCGATATCCATCAGTACCATAACCGTTCTTATCCTGATTAAAGGCTTCTTTTATCCCGTGAGCAATCGGGGCAACTTGGGACGTTGTGCTATGCCCCTTTCGAAACCCGAATTGCTCAGGAGGGATCACACTCAGGTCTTCGGCAAGAGTGTTGATCATACAAAGGATGAGGGTCCTATCCACCACCTTAGCTATCATGCTGAGCAGCGATATCGGACGGTAGCTGCTTGGCAATTTAGGGTTTTTGCCAGGCTTAAGAATTGGGATCACCAACCCCGTCTTCAGGGACTCTGGGTAGTACTGGTGTCTGATAATGGCATTTATTATGTAGTGCAATTGCACTATCGTTTTGCGCGGTAAATTTCTCAGGAGAATAGTGTCAATCTCGTCGAGTCCTGGTGCCTTGTTGAGATTCAATCTCTTTATATGTTACAGCCGGATGGACCATCCTGTTGAGTTAACAATCCTTGCGTGGATAATTTGCACGATACTTCTTAGTTCTTAGCACAGTGTTATTCCTTAAACTGTGCTTCTCAGGGTAAACCAAGAGAGTCAATAACAACGTCATGGGGTGTCCCGATACCAGAAAAAGACGCCAGCTTGACCGTGGGATATCACGGTCAGGTTCTGTTTCAAGATTGGGTTCTCATCGACGAACTAGCCCATTTCAGCAGGGAACGCATTCCTGAAAGAGTGGTGCATGCCAAGGGAGCTGGGGCCTTCGGATATTTTGAAGTCACTCATGACATCACTCAGTACACCGCAGCGAGAGTTTTTTCTGAGATTGGAAAGAAGACTCCGATTGCTGTCAGGTAATGAAAATAAAGGGATAAACAGAGTATGTTTCAAATAGTTTCACCTCATCATCTTTCTATCTTTGGAAGTTCATTCAAGTTTAATAGGTGTACCAAATGTCAATTTAATTCATTATTCCAAATTTTTTGGGATTTTCTCTACTCGTTTCTATAAAATAAAAATATGAAAATTATTTCAATATACGTGTAGTAAGGACAAATCAGATGATTTGCCCCAAAATGTCACTGCGTTTAAAGAATGTTCCTATCAGAGAGCCTAAAAGAAAAATTTACTAGCTCGTCAGTGACAATTTGTATTGAAAAAAGTTTGGAGAAGAGAAATAATGGTATATACAAAAAATATCAAAGTTTCACTTATCTTTGGACGTTTCGGGACCGAATCTGCTCCCGTTTTCAACATAAGAAATGATTATTTTAATAGCAAAGTCGTATCTGTCTTGAAGCTTTTCAGTTTTCATTGACTATTGGTGACGTTGGCAATCAAATGAGTTACAGGATGTTTTCATTAATTAATCTCGAATTTACTATTTTATGTTCAGATTTTAGTAGTGAATACCATGTTATGTCTATATCAACTGAACAAGAAGCAATGCTATTGTCTCCGTTCAGAAGAATGCAAGCAGATTCCTTGATTTTTCTCTTCTGGTTGTTATCTTCTTTTCCAATGATTTTAATATTGTTCCACTCTGCCATATGTTGTCCGTCTTCAGTAAGGATATGTTCAGCTAGCTTCGATTTATCGATGTGTCTTTTCTTTATATTATACGTATGTTCCTTCGTCCTCTATTTCTCTTCTCCAAACTTTTTCCAATACAAATTGTCACTGACAAGCTAGTGAATTTTTCTTTTAGGCTCTCTGATAGGAAAATTCTTTAAACGCAGTGACATTTTGGGGTAAATCATCTGATTTGTTCTCACTACACGTATATTGAAATAATATTCATATTTTTATTTTATAGAAACGAGGAGAGAAAATCCCAAAAAATTTGGAATAATGAATGTATCACCTCCTCGATTGACCTACAGACAGTATTTGTCAATTTAATTTTTAATATTCATGAGAAAACTCGAACAGCGTTTGTAAAATCTCAAACTTTGATTTACTGAGTACCAGAAACGAAATTGCTACAAAGAAACGATTCATATCCGATTATTTCAGGTTTTCTCAAGTAGCTGGCGAGATGGGATATTCGGACACCGTCAGAGATGTAAGGGGATTTGCTGTGAAATTCTACACAGAGGACGGTATATGGGATTTAGTAGGGAATAATTTGCCTACTTTCTTCATCAAGGATTCTGCATTGTTCCCTACATTCATTCACATATTGAAGAGGTAACACAAAAATTACTTACTATAATAATTCTGCAGAATTATGATTTGAAATTCCTGTGACTTTTCTGATTCTTCATTATTCATAGCCAGCGTAGCCTCGTGGTTAGAGCGTCAATGTTCTATCCACGTTGGATCACCGGTAGTGGGTTCGATCCCCACCACATTGATGAAATAAACCTCTGGTGTACGCACTTCAATCTTTTCCTGTTTTACAATTCCTTGATTTTCGCCTACTTCGATGAACATAACATGGCGTGGGTGAATGTCGCTAAATTTAGTCTGGTGCCGTACCAAAATTACAGGCATCAATGTGACAATTGTGACCGAATTGTGACCAATGAAGATAGGGAATACATTTTGCGATTTAGCCGTATCAAGGTTGGTAGAACTGATGTTGATCATAAGTTCTAAGAATCACGCCATCTAACATTCGATATGTGAACCCCACGTCATTGTCTGAAATTCAATTGTTTATATCAAGAACCAGTCTGACGAAACAAATGAAGAGTGAGCGCACCAGAGGTTTATTACACAAGTTAAAAGGTAAGACCCCCGTCATTCCTTGCTCGCTTAAGTCTCTTGGAGACTTCTGAGGGTTGCTCGTAAGGGGGCAACCGAATGATGGATAAGAACAATTTTAGAACAAAAAAAGAACAAAATATAATTGAAACAATATGGAATAGTTCAGATTCGAATGTACACTGCTGCCCAAATAAATCGTAACGACTCTTGAGTTATTTTGGTATATTTTGTTCAGCCCATGTACTATTCGTCGTTTAGGCACACTGTCGATCTATCCAAGGGTCCACTTCATTAGCATTTCATGACCTGATTCAAGTGTTATGGGTGCATTCAATTAAGCACTTGAGCAGTATTGGTTTGAAGATTACTAATCCTTTTTGATATTTAGTTATGATGGAAATAGCAAAGGCTATTTTTATAATTTTATTTGGCATTTGATGTTTCTATGTGCATGTGAGATACTCGAATATTTTCTCAAAGTCACACAGAATGGATGATCTCGAAGTTAACATTTTTTTAAAACATATTTTGATCTGCGACAATAAAAGTGTCTTCATCATTCAAGTCTTAAGAAAAATAGCATACATGTATTGTAGATCTTTCAGGTCGCAGTGTATTCACCTCTTATGCATACAATACAATACAATTGTATTGTGAGTAAGAATTCAAGATAATCACATATCATACCATTAACATTTTTATATCAAATCAAATTCAATTATAAAATCAATATTATGAAATCCGAAAGGAACAGAAAAATGAAACGAAAATTCGATGAAATAAATCAAGTATAAATTTTATGTACAAGACCAAATAGATTGATTTTGTTTCATCATGCATTTTTCATTATTCTGTATGAAAACCATCAGCAGCATGCACTTTTGATTATCGGTTCGACAAACTCTCCTTATATAATGAATCACGGAGCTCTTTGTAATTTTCTTGCGAGCAATGTATGCTTGAAATTTGTCACAATATGTTATGTAACACCGTGCAGATTTTGTTGGAAATAAAATCAGCCGATGAGTACATCGAATCCATTGAGAATGCATTCTACGAATCATATTTTTAAATTTTTTCGTTTAATTTGACGAGAAAGTTTCAATAACGATAATAAAATGTTTTAACTACCGACATTCCCAGAGGAGTGAATATCTAGAATCCTAAACTCTGACAATGTTGAATTTCCTCAGATACTTCATGATGTTTATGAACTTCCTGCTTTTTCACACCATACCACGAATATAGAGGGATAATAAGATGATTTAGGTATAGGAAACTACCTGCCGTCACGTTCGTGCTGTGTAATGAAGAGAAATATAGAAGTCCGTAGGCATAAGCTGATATTTCGATGAAATCATCACAGGAGTCGTTACGATCCATTTGGGCAGCAGTGTACATACAAAGATGTGGAACGACACTTCGATATTTTCATATCAGCCCCCTTTGATTTGTCTATCGTATCTGTTTTACTGATATAGAGATCTTTGTCTGCATGTACACATATACACATGAACACTTTCAATCGGCATAAGGAAATATAATAGCCATGCCAAAAGTTCTCGAAACTAGGAATATGGTACTATCAAGAATAATGCTTCAGAAATATTCTCAGTACTGAATGAAAAAAATCATCCAAGTTGTCGTCTTTCGATAGACACAGAAATTGATCGACCCATGTTCCTCATCAGTATTTCAATTTCACCTGTATTTGGAATAAATACATTCAATCCAGTGGATATGCACATATATGCATATCTAGGTTCACAAATTGCCTAATATGCTATGAATAATGTCGATCAAGGAGAAATTGAAAATCATTAAATTTTAATAATAACTAAATGATGTGGAATTTTCAGGAATCCGAAGACACACATAAGACCCGATTATGATATGTTCTGGGACTTTATATCTCTTCGACCCGAATCAACTCACACGACTCTCATGATGTTTTCTGATCGAGGAATTCCAGACAGTTATAGACATATGCACGGTTATGGGGTCAATACTTTCGCCTTCGTAAATTCCCATGGAAAATTCTCCTATTGCAAGTTCCATTACTTGTCCAATCAAGGTAGGTTCAGAAAACAATCAACTATATATGTCCTCTATTAGCCTTGATAAAGTGTTAAATGATGGTTATGGAGTTGGTTTCCATTATCGACATGGTGATACACGAATAAGTGTGAAGGCAATAACGTATATCGAACCTCTAGAGGTCACCCAAAGGCGATTTTTGAAATTGATCCAATCAAGAACTCTGAGATATCCCTCAGATCAATTGTATGAAGATAGCAAAGTTATGGATATAAGGCAATTGTATTATTTCAGTATCATTCTCAAGTACAAAAAAAAATGAACATCATGCTCGATTACCTACTCATAACTACATCACACGGCAGAGACATCATCATACGTTTCCACGAATGACCAAGTCTACTTGCCAGCGAACCTTCATCTACATTGCACCAAGGGCGTATAATTCACTTCCTGAAGAACTAAAATCAACAGCTTGCTTCAAAACCTTCAAATATAGATTAAAAAAATTTATACAAAAAAATTCAAGAGCGTGGTGCAACGACATCATAGAACTGAGAACCTGAATAATGCTTCTTTACATACCCTCAATTCTAGAATACCTACATGATTTGTTGTTAATAACATGTGTTCATAAATACTTATACATTGATTTTATTATCGATTTCATTTCTAAATATTTGATATTTCATAATAATTCATCTCAAGTTCATTTTATTCTGCATTCTGTTTTTGTTAAAGTTGTTCTTGACTCTGTTCTGTCGTTCAACTGTTGAGATGCATCAACTTATTTCCATGTTTTTATCTGAGTGTAATATTAGATTGAGTATGTCGAAACAAGTATTTATTTACTTATCGAGTATCTTTCATTTATTCATTTCAATTTTTAATTCGTTTCTATGTACTCTGTTTTGTTCTGGAATGAATAAATATATTATTATTATTATATATTGACCATAAGAAAACCATTGAGAAACTTTTAACAAACGATGAAATTCACCCACAACGGCGTCCTCCAAAAACTCGACATGTTCCACTAATGTACTCAGTAACTTATTCTCAACTACCTTACTACCTAATTTACATATTAAACTTCATTCGTCGAAAACAAGAGTACAATAATAATGACCGGCAGTACTTTGATGCACAAAAGAGCAAATTAAATTAGGAGTCGATGAGTTCTTGATAATTTCAAGATCTGGTCCTGATCTTGTCTTGATCTCAAGACAATATCAAGACAAGAAGTTATTTTAGATTTCAAGAGAAGACCAGAAATTTTATGTCAATACCAAGATTTCTTGTCAAGAAACCAAGAAATCTTGATATTTCACAAACTGGTATCATTGCAAGTTGCGATGTCGTTTGCTTTCGTGAGCAAACAAAAATGAAGATCGGGAAACCACCAGATTGCAGTGTTAGCACGCGACAGTGTTGCCGGTTTCACTGAGTTTTCAGGAGATTTACTGATTTGCATATTGATACACTGATCTACTCAAACACTCATAATCTACTGAAAAAAATCATGACACTTATTCATCGTTATAATCGCCTATTAATATTGATCTTTAGCTAATCACATAAACTGAATATCTTCGGTGATAGTTGGCCACGCTCTGTGAATGAATTTTCTGGCGCCACTGATTATAAATTCGAATGCGTCCAAGCGCCTGATATGTTGGTGGAAAAGTAGTCACTTTTTTCGCGGTAATAGAGTAATTCTATGTATAAAGACATTTTTCTGCAACCGACACAAAAGTCGTCCATTTTGATACCAAAATCAGCTCTTAAATTGACGTTTCTATTACTGACACAAAAATAGGTATGTTGCTAGGCAACATATTTAGTTCCTAGGAGCTAAAGCTGAATTTTAGTTCCTAGGAGCTAAAGTTGAACTTTAGCTCCTAGGAACTAAAAAAGATCTACTGTACGCCATCAAGAATGAACAACATTGTGACGGTTGGTTATTTGGGTTGAGACCTATATCTGATTTGTTTCCGATTTCAGCAGATTTGGCATTTCATTCCCATGCTGGAGATATAAATACAACTTATTATAGTTTAGTATTGGAATTATAAACATCTAAGTCGAGTATTTTTGTTTTGATCAGAAAAGCCTTCAAGATTCAAATACTTGCTTGATCTGTATTTCAATCGTTATTCTCGGGATGGATAACTTGTTTTTGAATAATCACGGCAAGCAATAGTTTTTTTGTCTCAAACAACGATATTGTTTAGCTTCATTTGGTTATCAAGTCAAACACAGTGTAGTATGGAGAGGAATCGATAATCACTATTATCATTGTTGATATGCTCACTAACCTAACATTTTCCACGTCTTGTTCCTATAGCTGGCACAGGCGCGGTATTTGCCATTAGAGCACCTGGTCCATACACAAATATATCACTCTGTGGTTGTATTTATATTGAAACTACAATTCGAACATTCTAGAAAACCTAACCTGCTGTTACTGCAGGTAGAATATTCTCACCCCACGGATAATTTGTCAATATTTGTTGCATTGCATACATATTTCACGGCATTGGTGGTTACTTCACATGTTTATTTGAGTTAATTGTTTCGGTTGCAGAAAAAATAGCATGTTTCATTCGGATCAAAAGTGTCACTTTTGATCCTAATAAAACAATCTACTATTTATTACCAGTCAACATAGATAAAATGTCAAACTTTTTTCCCGTCACAAAAAAATACCTATATATTTTTGACGTCATAGGTTCATTACATTATCCTGAAATTTGTATAGCACAAAATGAATCTACTGAAATCTATTGAATTTCTGAAAAGGTATATCTATACTGATGAAATAAAAATCGAGATGGCAACCCTGGCACGCAACGCAATAAAAAGTTCGCCGGGGACTCACCATGTACGGTGTCACCGGTCAATCAAAAAAGTTCAAGATCTTGAAATTTCCTGAGTCAAGACAAGACTCTTCGAAATTTCTTGACTCTTTCTCAAGACAAGGCAAGAAGTTGTTATCAGGACAAGAATTCTTATCTTGACGACCCCTAAATGAAATATTCCCTCAAATAGGACGAGGCACTGACATTTATTTCCAATGCGGACCCGTAACTTTTTGAATTATTTCTGATAGGGGGTTTCTGTCCTGAATTCAGTGAGATGAGATAGTATATAGCATCATGAAGAAGTATCAATCGTTTTATTTCAGTTTGTCTCTCACGTACTCTCCCAGAGCTCACTATTTTTTGTAATTTAAGAAAACGTCTGCAATTAATATTGAATTCCTACAGGAATAGCCAATCTAAGTTCAGAAGAAGCTCAGAGAATTGCCGGAGCTGACCCTGAATACCTGCTAAGGGACCTGTACAATGCTATCGAAACTTCAGAGTATCCTTCATGGAACTTATACGTCCAGATAATGACTCCAGAGCAAGCCGCTAAGAATCCGTATGATCCGTTCGACGACTCGAAAGTTTGGTTGCACGCAGATTTTCCTCTGATCCCAGTAGGCAGATTGGTACTCAATAAAAATCCTAAGAGTTATTTTGCAGAAGTGGAACAGATAGGATTCGATGTGGCTCATCTCATTCCAGGTAACTCAAACCAAATTATATTGTTGAATAGGTCTAGTTAGTTTTCTGCTCTCATTTTTCCCACAAACAGGCACCTATAGAATATATGTAAGCGTCTGATATATCCATCAAACAGAAATTCTGAGGAAACCCAGTCAAACACTTGAAGATAATCATTGGTATCCAAGGGACCCATTTGATCAAGACTTCATGATATTGCGCTTCCTGTCTATTTCACTTTTCAGATCTCTCAAGGTGTTGAAGATACTCCGTATTCGTTTGACCAGGAAATGTTTCTATTATTGATGCTGAATGAAGTCATTTTTCGTTTTCATTCTCAAAATATGGCGAAGGAACTGAAAATTACAGTTTTTTTCTTCTTTGAAGAAAGTTCTATGTGCCTCCTCAAATACAACGAGTATAATAAAACAATTAAAATTAGATTACCCTTTCATTTTCCTAATCTGTTTCATCAGGAAAGTAGCATTCTTCCAGAACAGCGCTGTCGATCACCAAACCTTGAAATAGGCTATCCAAAAACCATTATGGTTGTATGCAATGAACTCAATGTGAACACTGTGACGTCTACCTGTTGTAGTAATTGCCTTCAAGAAAATATGGCTCAAACACACATTCCAAACTGTTATCTTTTTGCCATGGAGTGGGTTTTTATATCCATTTTTCTTGAATTGTGTTCTTCACAGTAGCGCAAAAGTTATAGTTATTCACATATCCACTATACCGGGTGTGGCTACGGAAGTATTGCCTACGGAATATCTCAGTTATTGTATGAAGTAGATTTGTGAAATTTGGAGCGTCGATATAAAGACATGAGAGCTAGAATTTGAGCATATTGACATGTCGAAGTTAACTTCCGGTCTGACCGGAAGTAACATCAACTTTCTCATTTTGAACGGAAACCCATTTTTTTTTCTTCTCGCTTCATTCAGCATTCAATTCCCTTTCTAACGACATATCACAAGTTGGTATCTAACCAGAAACTAGATCAGAAAAAATTATTATTGAAATTCACCGAGTAGGCCATGGAAGCAAAATGAAAGCCAAAAATTGAAAAGTTGGCTATGGAAACCATACGTCACTTGGTAACATCCGTCGGCGTTATAAAAAGCCGCCAAGAAAATTTTGGAAAAATTGGGAAAAAACAATACTCTGGTAGGTCCATAACTTAAATAGGAACATACAACTTTTTCTTGCCTGTACTATTCAGCATAACCACTCCTTTCTAACTATATAATAGAAAGTCATTTTTTGGCTTTCATTTTGCTTCCACGGCCTACTCGGTGAATTTCAATAATGATTTTAGATACCAACTTGTGATATGTCATTAGAAAGGGAATTGAATACTGAATAAAGCGAAAAGAAAAAAAAATAGGGTTTCCTTTTCAAATAAGAAAGTTGATGTTACTTCCGGTCAGACCGGAAGTTAACTTCGACATGCCAATATGCTCAAATTCTAGCTCTTATGTCATTATATCGACGCTTCAAATTTCACAAACCTACTTCATACAATAACTGAGATATTCCGTAGGCAATACTTCCGTAGCCACCCGGTATATAATAAAGAGTCGTAGAAGTAAGGCTCGTCAGAAATAATCAATTCATGAAGAATTGTAGCTCTAATGTTCAATGTCTCGAAAAATTGGCTCCAAAAATCATAGCGACCAACTCCATCTATATACGAACTAGTTCAAAGTCTATATTTTCATATCCCTTATACAGGGTGTTCCTTAAAGACATGCTAATATTTGAAGGGGTGATTCCTCGACTCATTTTAAAAAGAACACTTCATATGAACGTATGTCCCAAAAGTCTCAACTTTTGAGAAACATGGTGATGAAGTTTTGAAAAATACCTAATCAGTTTTTTTATGATAACTGAGACAACATTGTATACATCTGCATGAAATTTGGTACACGTCTTCTATGCATCAAGGTGCACTTTCTGATGTGAAAAAATGTATTTTCTCTACCAGTGGCACCATTACGGGAATATTATTGCTCATATTTTACTTGAAAGTGAGCAGCGACGAAAAATTCTCAAATTCCGTACAATGCTATGAAAGGCTATTCAATTATGAACAAAAAACATATCCTTGTTGTTACCCGATAGAACGCTTCGTTTTAGAGAAAAACGGAAAAACGGAACCAGAATTTTAATTTTGATGTCTGAATATTCCATTCAGGACATCCATTACTATGGATAACCACAGTATGTAACATTTTGAAATTTTCATACACAGCAGACTGAATTTTACAATCACGAAATGATACAGGGTGGACAAAAACAATCAAATGCATATTTTCAGAATTGACACGCTGTATCTCAAAAGTTAGGACGTTCACGAGATACCTTCATGTAGAGTTTGATTCTTGAAATGGGTCGAATAATCAGCCCCTTGAATATCAGCATATCATTAAGAAACACCCTGTACTGTACTGGAGTGCAAATGTTGTGACCTTTGTTCAACGGCTACCTACTTTGACCCTGTCAACATTTGGCGTTAAAATAAAGTATTGCCATAGCCACGTCTCAAATCGTTCAATTCCACTACTAGATTTAGTACGAAAATCTTTTCACTACATTGAATCATGTATATACTATGGTGGTATTCTGTATCAAATCAATGAAATCGAGTTTCGCTATTACAGGAATTGAACCATCTCCAGACAGAATGCTTCAAGGTCGTCTCTTCAACTACGGAGACACCCATCGATACCGCCTGGGCATAAACAACACCCAGTTGCCAGTCAACAGTCCCTTCAGAGTGAACAACTACCAGAGAGACGGTCGAAGCACTATCCAGAGTCAACCTGGAGCACCGAACTATCATCCGAACAGTTTCAAGGGACCTGAGAACGACAGGAGAGCTAGGGCCCTAACTCCAGTTCTGCCGATACAGGGCGATGCGCAAAGAATCGACAACGGAAATGAAGACAACTTCAGTCAACCCAGATTGTTGTATCAGAATGTATTGAAGCCCGACGAGCAAGGAAGGTTGATCGAAAATATTATAAGTTGGTTGAAGAATGCTAATTCTGTCATTCAGGATAGAGCGCTGCTCAATTTCTCGAAAGTGGATGAGGATTTGGCTAGAAGGATCAGGCAGGGACTACCACTCGGAAGTCAACCACATATTGATTTGTGAACAATGGATAATGAATGTTTTTGGATAAGTTGGATAACGTGGACAATTTGAAATGATAATGGATTCTATTCAATATTAATAAATATCAGTGCATTAATTGTTGTTTTAATTGGTGAGAGGGCTTATATCACGAAAATTTTTTATTTCATAATTCGATAGAACTCACCCAAACTAGCTCACCACCGCAAACCGTTTCTTGCTGTGAGCTCCCTACGTTTTATAAAAAATTATTGAAATCTCCTATTTTTCGGACCTCTGAAAACGAGGCGATGATGTGACGTCAAAACCCTAATACTGAAACAAGACTATTCCAGACAGAGATGAATGATACATGATTTTTGACAGAGTAAATTAGCGCTAGATCACAGTTGAAAGAATTAATATATCAGTTGCCTCAGTCTCTGACGGGCGTTTGGTATTTTCTTTTAACTATAGCGAGATGAGGTTTCTACGTCATAAGAGGGTCCGTTTTCAGAAGGTACTATTATTTATGTCCAAAAATAAGACATTACAGTTAATTTTTCGATCGAATTATGTCGTCAATCATTATTTGTGTATAAAAGGATCATTATAAACATGGTTTGAGTTAAAAGTTCTACTAAGGTGTACACGCCCATTGAGTTACAATGACAACAGTATATTTTTTTAATTGATCAATAATTCACATATAGTGGGGCAACGACTCTGGTAGGTAGTTGAAAATTCGAATATGTGACCGACAACAATATTGCCATGAATAATTAATACCAACAGCGCTGCGGAACTGTCATCAGAGTTGCGTAACCAGTACACATTAGTTATTTATGTATCAAGGGCGTAAAGTAGGCGTTTATGGCCTGTGGCGTGAATAATGGCCCGATGGCGCTAGCCGAGGGCCATTACACGCTGAAGGCCAATTACGCATTTCACGCACGAGATACATACAAAATTTTATGCACTAGTGGTTTATTTTCTGACTCATAAGTAATGACTATAGATTTCGATAAACTAATATTCCCCAGAATTTAATTTGTTATGTATAAATTCAGTAATCAAGAGAAGCGTAATATTCATGGATGATTTACATATGAAAATTATCGTACGAATACTGCAATTATCGTAATAGTAAAACTCTTTCAGCTGTAGAAGAGATTCATTCCTCAGAATTTTACAATATGCATACCCAGTATATAAATCTAACTTATTTTGACGTTGTCAATCAATCTGATGGTTGTTGTCGATAGCAATACATTCAATAAACGAGCTGAATTGTCATTCTTTGATTGAAAAGTAAAATTAGTGATAATAATAATAGCGAGACTATGGAATCGGATGAAGAAGAAGTTTATGATATACCGCTGGATATATAAGAATCTAGGAATATGATCATAGGTTTTTTATAAATTGATGTGGATATAAGGTGACTGAGAACAGCGGGCGGTAAAGTGTACTTTACGGCCCGTGGGCCATAATGAGCCCGCGGGCGGTAAAGTGCGACTTAACGCCCGCAAAACCGGGCGGTAAAGTGCACTTTACGGCCCTCTAGTGCATAAAAGTATTTTTGGTCAAAATGTCCCCTTTTCTTCCATAACTATGATTCGATCTGCTCGAATGTTTTATAGCGAATTTGATAGCAGAGCTTGATTATTCACGGTATGATAGAAGCACAATCGACAGTATGAAATATCTGATTTATTATTTTATATAACAAGTGAACAACTATCAATAAATTATACAAGGAGTTCTATAAAGGTATAAGAAAGTATCACAGGACTACTCTTCTAACACCCTTACTTCATGTGATGTTACTCCCATCCTTTCGGAACAAATCTTCAATTTCTCATGAGTAACAGCTTTTGTCAGTACATCTGCGACCATATCAGCCGTTGAAATAGGTTTCACTTCAACTTGATATCAGTGTGCTTACTTCTCGCTCTGAAACCTCCATTCTTGCTCAGGTCTACGGATCCTTTATTATCGCAATATCTTGCCATCTTCTTGGATATTTTAGCTATCCCAAATTCAGACAGTAAATTATTGAGGAATATTCCTTTTTGGGCAGCGAAGCTCAACGCCATATATTCCGTTTCCGATGTAGAGAACTCAACAGTTACTTGTTTCTTCGACGACCAGCTAACTGCTCCTCCACCTGATATAAATACGTACCCTGATGTGGACCGTCTGCCGCCTAGGTCACCAGCCCAGTCACTGAAGCCATGTATATCGCCATCAGATTTTCTGAATAGCAGTTATTGCTTGGATGTTCTCCTCAAATATCTAAATATTCGTTTTACAGCCATCCAGTGCATTTTTGACGGATTATGACTGAATCTGGATAATTTTCTAACCGCGAACGCTATATCAGGTCGGGTGCATTGTGCAGCATACATAATACTCCCGATTGCTTGTTGATACGGCACATCTTCTACAAGATTTTCCTCTTCAGTATTACACATCAACTTCTGATTTGGATCCAGATGTGTCTGTATGCCATTGCAGTTTGACATTTGAAATCTAGATGGCACCTCTTCTATATAGTTCTCTTGATCTGCTTCCGATTTCGTTCAATGCGCATCCCTAAACAGTGTAGTGATTAGTGCGCCTCCCCCGAGTCTTTCATCTTTTCTTCTGTAACTGCTTTTTCAATACATTTTTCTATCCTTCATTTTGTGAAAATATCAGAATATCGTCCACATATATTACAAGTATAAGCATGTGCTCTTCAGATATTTTCAAATATATACATGGATCTAATTTGGACTTCTCAAATCCTAAATGTTTAATCACTGAATCCAGTTTCTTATTCCACATTGTACTAGATTGTTTCAGTCCATATAAGGTTTTGAGTGATCTACATATTTTTCCATCTGGGGATTCCATGTATAGCTCGTCATCAAGTTCAGGATGTAAAAATGCGGTTACAACGTCCATTTGGTCAGAGCTTGATTATTCACAGTATGAGGAGCACAATCGACAGTATAAAATATCTGATTTATTATTTTATATAACATGTGAACAACTATCAATAAAATATATACTGGGAGTTATATAAAGGTATAAGAAAGTATCACAGGACTACTCTTATAACAGAATTTCATTGGTAACCTGGTGGTGCACCAGTTTTGCACCCGCACTAGTGATTCACACAGACCAACGAGACGAGAATTCATTTTTTTGTGTGCCCTGAACCGCTTTTCTGCGAGCATTGTGTGACGGCCACAAGCAGCTGTATCTTGTTCATTCCACTACTTTGGGTGAATCATTCTCATATGATATAAATAACTTCTAGAATTCTTGCGGTTCAAATTATCTCTTAGAAGGAGTGATTCTCAAAATACAGCTGATTGCCGAACTCAATAAAAATTCTATTCATTCCATATTTCTGAGCATATTTCATAAATAAAAATAGATATTTACGTAACCAGTTAGGAAATGCGTCATTTTGTGAAACAATGGAGTTTTGCGCGACGAGCAAAGCACATAGTTTATGCAAAGTCAGTTATAACAGATCATCAAAAAGGAATGTCATACAGCGCTGCCGCATTCTTTGAACTTTCAAAGGGTCTGACGGCCAGCGGTGATGTGTTGGTCCAACTGACTTTGCATAGACTTTACACAAAATGAGCTTCCTAACGTGTTACGTACAATATTTTTTCTAGTTTCGATAAACTATTTTGCTTCAACAGAAATAATGCCATTCTACATTAGCTCAGGTAGAACATCATATTTGCTAGAGCTTGGTTTCACATCACTAGATTGTCCAATATCGAACCAATTTTTCATTACGATATTCAATAATGAATCCAGTTCCAATGTTGTAATAACATTAAAATGTTGTGACCAGCCGATATTCATTTGCCAATATCGAATCAATCCTGAAAAACAATATTGCATCAATATCAGATTTATGATGGTTAGTGAATATTGCATTTCATTGTCCAGTAATATTGCCCTGATATTAACTCTTCAATATCAATTTGATATAATGAAAATGATGTCACATCTATATCATTTTTGAATTGATCTCAATATCAGATCAATATTATCAAGATAATATTTCTTCTATATCATATGTGTCGGATGATTATTGAATATTGCATGCTATTTGCTACCGTTTGCTACGTACATTGTTTCCATATTTGTATTTTTTATTTACCCAATATTAGTTCATCAATATCAGAAAGATATACAGGGTGTTATTTAAGTATGTGGCCAAACTCCAAGGGGTGAATATTTGGGTGATTCTAAGACAAAAAGTTCATATAAACATAGGTCCAAAAATGCTTCGTTTTCAAGATACAGGGCGTCAAAGTTTCAATAAAAAATCGTTTTTTCATTTATCACTCAAAATTCTGTTTTCCAATATGAATGAAACTGGGCGATTTTGTTAACAATACAAGAAGCTTCTTTTGGTGTAGATTCGAAATAATGATTTCAGTGGCGTCGCAGTAGGGTTACCTTTTCGATATGTATGGTAAAAAAGGTGCCTACGTCATAGTTTTTCATAAGATTAAACAATTGAAAAGCTTTTATGTTTCCTACTGAATATTTTTGTATATCACTTGGTATCTGAAGATATAATGAAAAATTTATTTGATTTCAAATTTCAATGAAGGTGCCATCGAATCTCCTAAGAAGTGCCCTTAGCCCTACCTATTCCACAGTCCCCGATCAAAATTTCAGGCAACTGTTAATATTTTAAAATTAGGCACAAAAAGTTAATCATCATCTCGGGCTCCTTCTGATGGTTGTAACCTTCCAGGAGTCATTCTTGGACTCATATGTATATTAAGTATTTTCACTCTTTTCGTTCCTTAAATATGTGGTTGAAATCTTTCTATGTAATTTCGAAGACACCCTGTATATAAATTACCTACCTTATTCGGAAGAACACTCCTCGTAATTTTAGTTGTTGTAAGTTGCTGTATTTCCATCATTCCACAAAATTATAAGTATAACCTACCTATCTTTTTTTAATATTTTCTCTACAGCTCGAAAACTCATAATATTTTTACGTCAAATGATCGTCTCTACTCTACTGCTTGCGTCTGACATTTTGCGCTTTCAAATATTTAGTACCCTACACTTTTGAAACAAATCTGATTTACGTATAGAGGTTTTGATGAAGAATGCCAAACAAAAATTGAGCAATCAGACTTGAACGAACGAAGACATTATCATTAAAAACATGCTACTTATATGTTGAATGAATAAAGATTGTTATAAATTCTACTATCAATATCACAACAATCAAATTGAATAAGGAAGGCTTGAGAAAATGACGAAAAATTGCTGGTTGCTTCGGATCGTCAATAATAATTATCATGTATAACCAGCTGGAAAGAAAAAACAAACTTAGTATTTCCTCGACCTGCAAGAACATCATCTGTATCAGGAGTTTTTCAAATTAACCTATATAGTGTATCTCTAAGTACATTATTACTGTCATACATTCTCAATCATTGCATACGAAATACTTGAATCATAAATAAAGTGAACTCACAGAATATAAAAAGGAGAGCTGATCCCAAAAACATCTTCATGATTCACTTCAGGTTTATTTTAAATTTCGGCTAAACAGATTCGCGCCTCGACCTATACTGAACGTTATAAATACACACTAAATTTTCAATTTTCATAACAGAACACATGCACAAGCGCACTATTATACATATGACGTCAATTTGAGCAAACGTGAAAAACCTTTCCAGTAAACGAAACAAAAAGTGGGTCGAGAGAAAGATTTACTTGGGTGAAAATATTTAGTTCATATATATATAAGTGTCCCAACTCTATTTTTATACACGTATTCTCTAGAAAACAGATAACACTTTCCATGTTCTGGAATTTCTTGCTTATAATTGAGACTCTGTGTTGCACAAAAATTTGTCATTGAAACAACCCCTCGGCAAACCACCCTTCAGTATAAAACCCTGTTTTTTAAATGTTACCCCTACGTTATCGTGGTATGTTTGGCTTATTAGCTCAAGAACACAGTGATGTATTGAACTCTCCATAAATTACTCCTAGATAAATGTCCAATCAACAACTTAATGACATATTATATGAGGAATTTCGTCCACCATTATCATAAATCTACAGGCGGAATCAGACGACCACAAATGAGGTCACACAGATAACTTCTTTCATGAACATATATCTCAACACTTGGCGTCGAGATGTCAAACAGAAAATATTCCGTCGAATTACCACAAAGATAACCTGACCTAAACTCTTCGAATTTTTTCTGAGAGGCCATTTGAATTTGCGAGTAGGTATACCTATGCCACGTAGCCTGGAACACTAGAAGTATTGCGCCGAATGATATAACTCCGAATATGTTCGAGCAGAATTCAAAAACATACTCTATAAACACTTCATAATCGTAGCATCTGTTATTGAATGAAACACAAGCACATGAACGAATATATATTGAAAGAACAGGGTACAGGGTGAATCATTGTAGCATCGTAATGACTGTTGTAATATTCTATATTGATTTGCCGCTTTCCACTCAGATACAACTCCGACACATCCGGTCGTTTCAACGCCTGAACAACGTAAGCAGAGAGCGACACTATTTCAACGGTCACTACGATGCGAGCTACGATGCTACGATCATTCCTAGAAACCGTGTATGTATACAGTGAAGTTAATATTCAAGATATCAACAACCTCTACATACATTATTGACAGCATTCCCCTAGCATACATATATCGACTTTTTCGTTTCTTGAATACATTTTCGGTCTCTATTGATAATATGCAATTTTAATCAACACACAAATGAAGAAGAAAAATTATTGATGCAATCGATTAACTGTCAAACACATAAAACATTTTGTGTAGGTGCACCGCCTACTGAGTGAAATAATTATGAAAAAATAGACTGATAGCCCTGTGGATCATCGTATGAGGAACAATCTTAGTTTCATTATTCCAAATGGGAAGATCATGTGATAGGTACATGGCGAAAATAAAAGACAGATAGTTTCTGTACGAGTAGCTGAATTCGAAAAAGTATGTTCCTATCTTAGATTCCTCAATACCATGAGCTATTCTTGAAGGTTTTCATCTTGACTCAAACAAGCTATTGACAACCTGCAGACATTGATCAGAATATCAAAACATTTTGAATAATATCGGTTTACTAATGATCTTTAAATTTCAAAGCCTACCAAGTGTCGATATATCATCAATTCATGTCACAGCCAACTTATTCTTTTTGAATAAAAAGCAATTCAACAGCGAATTAAGAAATGAATTGCCACTTTGTGATACATGGTTGGATAGAGAATTTCAAGGCGAAAAAGATAGACTGAAAAAATGTACAGGATGACATTTAAAAAAGAATTTGGGGTCACTTCCGGTCAAACAGGTGGTTGAAAAAAATTGTCGTTAAGTTCGTAAAGTGCGCTACCATTTATTATATACCCCCTGTGAATTTCAAAATTGTATCTCTCCAAATAAAAAACTACAGGCTGCTACATGTCTCCTGTGTCACCCGGTATGGTTTGAGAAAATTTCGAAAAACACATCATTTGACAAAATAATCCAAATAAATTTGTTTCCTTCACAAGAATAGTGCTACGTGAAAACGATACGTGTTGTCTTTGGGTCGACATAAAGTTGGTTCATTTTATATGCGGGCTAAGATTTTGTTATTGAATTTTTCAAGAGCTTCTGGCATCCTGTGAATGCAATATGTCGTGTCAGATTTTTTTTTAAAGAAGGTCCAGCTGTATCTTCGTGAGTATAAATACTGAAATATATAGGTAGGTACCTAACACATATACCGCGTGTCCCAATAAGGTCGTCCAGCTGAGGCATATCTAAAAAATAGTTAAATAGTTTTCCTACGGCTTTCGAGGAGGAACCCTGAGAAATCAATTCCCATAGATTCTTGAGTTTTTTATATACCGCTCTGCGGATGACCTTAGTGGACCACCTAGTATTTCAAGCAAATCTAATAGACAGAGATCTGGCTGCATAAAAAAGTTTGTCATCGATACAAGGCTGATTCTTACTTCAAAAAGATCTATTTGTGTCTGCCAGCGCAGCCCCGTGGCAATACCACTCGTCCTGGCGGACTCATATGGTGTTGCTCGCCAATACAATTTCATGAACAATGAAGCAACAGAATTATCTATAATATTCAGAACATCGTGATATTACTTATTAGAATAATAGAAAATTTTCAAATGAATGAATCTAATGTTAAATCCATCTGGATTGATGTATGTGACGATTTTTTTTAAATCTTACGCCACCTTTGTTGTTTTACTTCGCACACTTTTTCGCGAAAGGTGTCATTCTAACACGTACGTTACGCCGGCACGACCACTTCAACAAAATCCAAAAAAAATTTCAACAAAATTTAGTGCTTTTTGGTTGTTAATTTGTTACACTTCCCAAAAATGTGTTGCTTACGCAGACATAGCAAAAATTGAGCCAGCTTCACGAGAAGTTGGCACGGCAACTTTTTCATTTCAACACCGAATTGGGAATCAAATATACCAAATTGTAGTGCTAATTTGTTGCTTATTTGTTCCTACTTTGAAATCTTTCCATTTCTCTTCATCACAGAAAAAAAATGTTTCATCCAGCATCCAGTTGTACCATCATAAAGCTGGCATAGCGACCATCTCTATATGATTTGTCGAATTGAAAATGATCAACCAAAATGTAGTTTAATATTTCTGTTGATCGTTTTTTTTTTCTTCAACGAAGAGATGAAAGAAGAAACCATGCTGAACTAATTTCACGAGAACTCCGTTATCTGCAGACATGGAAACCCGAAAACGATCATGTCAGAATTTCTTGCTTTCTTGTTTTCAATTTATTCCCCTTTTAGAATTTTCGTTGCTCTTCTCTTTTCGGAAATGATGATGAAATAAGTTGCCATGCTAAATCAATTTCACGTGAACTCTGTTATCTGACATAAAAAGTCAAAGAGTCAAGAGTTTTTATGTAAGTTAACGGAGTTCTCGAGGAATTAGTCTAGCATGGCATCTTCTTTCATCATTACTTCCTGAAAAATAAACGAGAAACAGAAATATTAAATCAGAAACACCATGATCCGACAACGAACATTCTGGTATGATCATTTTCAATTCAACATAATTATCATATAAAGACGGTTGCTGTGTCAGCCTTATGATGGTGCAGCTGGAAGAAACAACTGTTTTCTGTGATGAAGAGAAATGGAAAATTTTGAAAGTGGTAATAAATTAGCAACCAACAATTTAGTACTAAATTTTGGTATGTCAGATGTTTTACAATAAGGTAACAAAATACAAAAGTTGCTGTATCATCTTATCGAATCATTTTTCTTTTGTAATGAAGATAATTGCAGAAATTTGAATAGGGGAAAAATTAGCAACAAATAAGCACTACAATTTGGTGTATTTGTTTCTTAATTCGGTGTTAAATGAAAAAGTTGCCGTGCCAACTTCTCGTGAAGCTGGCATGGACTAAATTTTTGCTATATCTGCATAAGCAAAAATTTTTTGGAAAGTGGAACAAATTAGCAACTAAAAAGCACTAAATTCTGGTAGAAAAATTTTTGGATGTTGTTGAAGTGGTCGTGCCGGCGTAACGTACGCCATGGTAACGTAGAGGAAACTGAAGAAAAGTGACTCCGCATATTGTTATCAATGCGCGAACCTCCCCATTTTTTGACGTTAGTAGAAAAATTAATATCGAAATTTGTCCTATTTGACCGTCTACCCCCGGTTTAAGCCACGGGGCTGCGATGACACACAACCCGATTTGAACTTTGCTACACAAAGGGATATAGTAGGAACAATAGTCCGTGTATCGATGAACAACTTTTTATGTGGCCAGCTCTTAGACTATAAGAGAGATAATCAAAAGAATGCTGAAATGAAATATAATTGTTACAGACACTTGCTACTTAGATCATGCAGGCGCAACTCTGTATTCCGAAAAACAGATCAAAAATGTTATGGCCGATCTATCAGCTAATGTATATGGCAATCCACATTCCTTACACATTTCCAGTAAATCAACAGAAGAAGCCATAGATATTATCAGATACGAGTAAGTGTTTATACATTTTACAGGGTATAAAAGATCACGTCGAACTGATGGAGGATGTAAATCAAAGCTAGGGGGATACCTACCTGATATGAAAACTCCCCATTATAGAAGTTTCAGCTTCATTTCTAATGTGGCCCCTCTAAAATATGAGAATGTTGAATTCAGAATAATCAGCCAATAATGTTCTCCTGTAGCAGCAGCACGAAAAATTCAATGCTTCTTTCAAAAAATATCCCTGAAACGGTAATATTGGGAATTCTTTCATGGCACTCTGATCTGCATTCTCCTTCAGATTGACATGTTCTTTATGAGACACCCTATATACCTTTTAATATTGTAAGCTGTAGAAACCTATGATGTAATAAAATCCGTATCTCCATAACAAAAATATGTTTTAAAAAGATTTCGGGTCGGTCGATTTTCTATTTTGAGAATCTATTTTTATATTAAAACTGTCAATCACCTGTCAACCTTTTACCCTACAGATCAAACCCTTCAAAATTTTTGAATTGTAAAAGGGGTCGAATTACACCTTGTTAGAGAGGTATTTCAAATCTCTACAACGGTCATTTTTTTTTAAACTCGGTTGAGCCATATCCTCAAGAGAGCAGCCGAAAGATTGTATTGGAATTTCTGTCTGAATTATTGGAAATGTTGACTACTGATTCATTGTATGTATTACTACTACAGTTAATTTAGCTACTCTCTGATAGAAGTCCATATTTTCTCAAAGTGGAGTGAAATGTCTCAAAGGCAAGAAAGCAATAGTCATCTCCACACTTTAAATGATGTAACAATCATTCAAGGGGACATGTTTCGGGCTCAGAAAAGTCCATCGTCAGCCAAGCTATAAATTTATGGAGGTGATACTAATTCAAATTGTGGTGCCAATGCCCATCGTCATAATTATATCATATTGAAATTTTTAAGAAAAAAAAACGGGTTTTCATAAAAATAAAAATGCGCTGTCAGGGCACGGGGGCCCTTTTATTTTTATGAAAACCCATTTTTTTTTCTGATAAATGTTGACTTGAGATTATGACGATGGGCATTGGCACCGCAATTTAAATTAGTATCACCTTCATAATCTTCTATACTTGGGCTTAAGATGGACTTTTTCATGCCCCCTTGAATAATTGTTACATCATTAAAAGTGTAGAGATTACTTTGGACTATCCTTCTTCCCTTTGTGGTTCGTCTACATTTGAAATGAGTTTTTTATACTGAATGTCCGTCTATGCCTATGTATGTACAATAATGAAACAGTACCTACCTACCATTACATTGTGATTTTTTTACAATGCAAACACTGAAGCAGCGTTTTATTTACCACTTTAAATCCAATGACTCTCGCAGGAGTCTGTTCACGTTTCCTTTTAAAACCAATATGCTTTAATATGTTGAAACTCGTGACCTAATTGATTTGAAGAGGTCTTGCGCCCGAATGGAATCATAACCTCACATATTTTGCCGTGTAGTGAGTTTTGCATGTTATTGATTGTTTTTCCGTTACATTCTGATATTGATTATATTTCAATATTACAAATAAGCACACCTCAGCACCCTTCCCAGTTATTAACAGGTGTTATTACCCACTATAGATATTTCATTTCTATACCCATATGTAGGCGTATCCACGGGGATATAGTTCTTAAATGGAAATGCAGAAATTAAAAACTCTCTGAATCTTCTGATTGAGTCATTGAAATGAACTTAAAAGGACGGGACACGTATATACTTTGTTCAACTATACGGTAGACTGTTGAGGTTATGTGGAAGACCATCAAAGTTCACATTTATAGAGATAGTCAGGGGTTCCTTTATAATATTTTCTAGAACATTTTCGACACAAACCTTGAAACCCTGATGCCAATATTGACCAATTTCTCCAACTGGAATTAACTGAACATTTTTGGGAGTTCTCAAAAATGTTCGCGGATCTTGCTCGAGAATAGTCTTCGGAAATCGTTAATTAATGAGTTTTATCAGTAGTTTAACAGTTCTCTGGCTCATGTTTGAAAGGATTGCCAATTCTCTAAGCTCTTCGCAGAATAACATATTTTTTATGAGTTCATTGTCGTTTTCGAATTCATCATCTTGAATTTCATGGTCGTTTTCGTAGTTTTCTTTCTGTGATTCCCTGGCATTGCTTTCATAATCGAACGGATTGAAAGATGAAGTGGAAGGACAGCCTTCAGATGTAACGCTGGTTTCAATTGCACTATGGTATTCTTGCACTGGTTTAAAAGAGCTTCTCTCAGTTGTATCACTTTTACTTAAATTTTTAAACTTACTTATTTCTGCCCTCACCTTTTTTTTTAAATAAACACTTCTTTTCAATTTGAAGTACTTGTCGCTAATGCTTTCAATTTCACCGATTGGTTAAATATTTTATTTCATATATGTATATGTGAACATGCGAACTGCACTGGTTGACTAAAAAAGCTTGTTGACATGACAGCGTTTAATCTGAATTTGGAATGGATATAATTAGTTTTAATAAAGTCGTCCAAAGACCGAAAGGTATTTCTTTCAACCAAATTGACTAAATTAAAATCTTTGAACTTCATAATACTCACTAAAAGGTGAAAAATATGTTTTTGGATTTAATGTGGTATTATATTGAATGAAAAGTCTTAGGATAAAATATTTTTACTAATGGGTTTTGAAGAATACATCAAGGGTTCTCCATAAAACTACATTAAAACTATTTTTCCCAGAACGGATTGTTTTAAAACCAACTTGCTAATTAGTTCTTAATAATAGCAAATAAGTTTTGAAATAGCCAATGTTGAGACTAACATAAAACCAACATAAGATCAATAGAACATTAAGAGCAAATAGCATTTTTATTTTGATATAAAGAGTGCATTAATTCCTTTCCTTAAGATTAAGTGGTCTTTAAGAACTTTTAGTTTATCTTAAGGTTACTTTAAATCCCATGTCGATTTATTGAACATACTGAAGCATTTTCAAAACCTGAATAAATCTAAACTATCTTAAAATTGTTACTTGGGGGGAGAGGTGGATACGTCCTCCAGCTTGCAGCACACGTGGAAGATGTCATCACACGGTAGGTCTTTTTCTCTAAAAAAAAAATTGTTGTCTTATGTAGGAGTTTTAGTCGGTAACAATTATTATTATTCAAGTACAGGTTTCTCAGCTGTGTGTACGGTACGTGTAGCTAGCATACACATGATTAAGCCATTTTTTCTCGCAGTTAACCACACAAACGGGGTCAACAATAAGTAAATCAGTCAATTTTCCTCCAAACTATGACATTATAACCACACAAACCAGCTGACTGGGGTAGTTCATGGAGCAGTTAAGGATTCTGATTGGGCATTGGATTGGGCTCTTGTTGTTGTTATAAGCTGAGGTTATGATTGTTGAGAAAAATTAATTATACTTCATAAAGAGATAATTATGGATTCATACGAAGTATTTGAATCAATGTTAATATGTACGTAGCGAATTGTTCGAATTTTCTTGAATTTGAAGTAGCTAAGTTCCTAGTTTCCATCTATGTTTGATGCATTTTTGTTACAGATGATGAATTTCTTATAAAATATATTAGTATTACTCAAGGTTGGTAGAAGAGATTCGACTAACCTTGAGTATTAGAATTGAAACCAAACAATAAACAAAAACAGCTGGTAAACTGACACAAGAAAACCATGACGTCATATTAAAGTTACAGTGACGTCAACATAAATATAACCTGGCTGTCTGGTTAGCTTCGAGGAAAAATGACCTTGTTGTATTTGGTGTTGTGAGACTTTTGATAAGGGCTGAGGAAAAGCCTCATTACCGTAATTCAATTTAAGCATATCGGTTTTTCTGTTCGATAAAAAATAAGGTAAACACAGGGGTGGATCTTTTCTCGATGGATGACCTTGTATAATAATTTAAATCATTTTGTACTCAAAGGAAGGATAGAGAAAGAAGGTAGGAAGATTTTTTTCAACTTTTGAAGGTTAGAAGGATCATTTTCCTAGGCAATGAATTCTATGGACAATCGAATTTTGGTAGATACTTGTTTGACATATCTTGAGATTTGTGCTGACTGAACTTGTTAAGCTTGTCTGACTGGTATTGCTAGTGATGGAATGATATCCAAGATTCCTGGAGAAAATTTTCCATGGAAGTATTTTGGTATGAAAAAGTTAAAGTTCGCCGCATATCTTGCAGTGTTCCAATTATGTCATGGAATTGATGAGTGTGTTTATCACATTTTTTTTGGGTAATGAAATTGATCTGGACTTATTACCTTATATTGATGATTCCTGCTCCATTGGTATTGATACTGCCATTGCTGCATTGGTAGTACCATACACATTGGTGCTTACAGTCAGAGGTTTCATTTTCTATTCCGATATTGGGATCCAAATCTAGGTTCACCCTACCTACCCCTAGAAAAAATCATATTAAGTTTGGATTTCATTGAAGGCCCAAATGAAGTTGTGGGTACTTATTTATTATTTTTGTATTGCCGTTACTTGATGGAAATACATAGTTAAATAAGATAAACTCAGTGGAAAATCAATTCAAGTGGCTTATCCCACCACCAGGAACAATAAAATATTCAAGAACCTATTTTGGATCAACTGAAAAATTAGCTTCATTCTAACATAAAGATGACTTGGAAGCTCTAGAACGATTAATAAAGGCTAAACTTTTGAATTTGAAAAATCAGTGTGTATTAGTCAAACGGAAATCGATTGATCTTTCAAGGACTCCGTATTTTCTTACAAAAATGTTCTATACAGTGCGTGTCATGTAACAGCGCCCTGTATAGAGAGTTATTGTTGGAAAGGATGCGCTTTAGAAATATCACGTGTCTGAACGTTTTTTCAAACACGCTGAAACACGTATTCGTTTATTATGGAATTAATTCCATTTGGCTGATATATGTATTATATTTGTCAGACAGGTAGATCATTTAACCACCGAATTCACGAACATCATATGAGTTTTTCAAAAAAATTAAACGAGTTTAACGTACGCTAACTATAAATTAGAAGGGATTATAAAAAACGTCACCTAAGTTTTTGTCATCTATGGGTTGTAGATCAATTCCTAATGGAATAGATGTATTGGAACTGATGTCTGATGCTTCACTCGATTTTGGAACTACATCAGGAATACCAGCACTGGATGTTATTCGAAAAAAGACCACAAATATGCAAATCGTATATTCACTGAAAATCATGATCCTAAAAAAAAATTGTATCACATAAGGAATTGAAGTAATAGTGAGAGGGTAATCTATTCACTGGACTATATAGTTGGAAAAATCTAATGTTTGAAAAAACACCCTTTGACTGCATCAACTTCAGGGTTGATACATCAGCTGTTTTTCCTAACATTGGTGTTAATGTTCGAATCGCAATATTGGTTTCAATTGAACAAAAATTATAAATCACTGATCTCATAAGAAAATTCAAGATTTCTACTGAAATTTGGTCCAAATTCAGTTGTTTCAGACAACAATGAGATCCGAAACATTATACAATTCTTTCATAGACATTTATTTTAAATTTGAATAAATAATACATCGTCATGAATTTCGCGCGAAATCTCTCGTCGTTTTCAGCCCGGTGGGTGTAATATAAATAAAAAATATGATAATCATAAACAAGTTTGATACCTGGCTTGCTGCAGAGATGCAGAGACTAACCAACTTTGCAGAAACACCAAAGGCGACTAGGCCTTGGAAGAAATACTTGCGCCGAATTATATGAGCCCCCCATTCATTATCAATTCAGGAATTCCCACAGATCATGGACATTGCCATTGGCGCACATATAGCAGCATCTGAATACTACATTACAAGCGGTGGCTGTTCGAATCATGGCTCCTGTATCGATGATTATATGTAATCTCTACCTACCGGATGTGAACTGGCAGAAACAAGATTTGGAAGATCTCATATCACAACTGCCCGTTCCATTTCTACTAGTAGGGGATCTGAATTCCCACAATCCCCTTTGGGGCTCCAACCGACGTGACGCACGTGGACTCATCATAGAACAGCTGTTGGAAAGTGAAGATTTAGTTTTATTGAACTCAGGATCGATGACGTACTTCAACGCTAGATCCAGAGATTTTTTGCCATTGATCTTTCACTTGCACCTTCTAAAATCGCACCTCGACTGTCTTGGAATGTCCTCGAGGATCTTCATAATAGCGATCATTTTCCGATTGTCATATCAACCGATATTCCGAGGACACGAATGCCAATACCTCCGAAATGGCTTGAGGATAAAGCTCAGTGGTTTGTGTTTGAACAGCAACTCGAACTGCCCGATGAATCTGAAGACCTGCATCAAGAGATCGACAATATAACAAAAAACATCAGACTAGCAGCTATACCTATCAGAACTCAACTTCCGAATAAGCGTGTAGTCCCTTGGTGGAACCCACAAGTGAGGAATTCCATACAAGCTGAGAAAAAAGTTTTCAATAAATTCAAAAAGTCTCCTTCCCCTGAGAACCTGATCTGCTTCAAGAAAGCTAGAGCCGTAGCTCGCCGTACGATAAATACAGAGTAAGCAATCGTCCTGGCGCGGTTATGTTTCATCGATGACGGCGAATACACCTCTCAGAGGTCTGGCGCAAAATTAACGCAGTCTCTGGTAGAAATTTTTCTCCACCACTGAAATACTTACGCTCAGAAGATCGAACCATATCTGACTTTCCCATTCTGATAGCTGAATGTATGGCAAATCATTATTGTTCTACAAGTGATGATACCAATTATGATGTTGAATTTCTACATTTGAGAGCCATACAGGAGATTCCTCTAGACTTTTCTACATCTGAGCAACTTCACTATAATCTTCCTTTCACTCTAGCTGAATTAGATAACGCCTTTTCTTGTTCTAAGCCGTCATCTCCAGGCCCAGACTTCATAAGCTATTAAATCATCAAGCATCTTCCTCTTGAATTCAAAACATCACTTCTCACTCTTTTCAATAGAATATGGCATTCAAATACTTACCCTTCTCAGTGGAAAGAGGCTTTAATCGTTCCCATACTGAAAGAAGGAAAAGATCCTCTTCTTCCTTCTAGCTACAGGCCAATTAGTCTCACCTGTTGTATGGGTAAGATCCTTGAGAAAATGGTCAATAATAGATTAGTTTGGATGTTGGAAACAACGGGATGTCTAGTGGACCACCAAGCAGGTTTCAGAAAACACCGTTCTACGATAGATCAACTTGTCTTCCTTGAACACCTTATACAAGAATCTTTTAAGAAACGAGAACATACCGTAGCAGTGTTTTTTGATATCGAGAAGGCCTATGACATGACATGGCGATATGGAATTCTGAGAAAACTTCATGACTGGGGTTTTCGTGGTAACTTACCTTCATTTATATTGTCATTTCTTTCCGAAAGAACTTTCAGGGTGAGAGTGGGTGACACACTGTCTACACTCAAGAGCCTCGCAAATGGAGTCCCACAAGGCTCCACGCTGAGTGTAACACTGTTTGCCATAGCTGTGAACGACATAGCACACTCAGTTGACCCAACAGTTGGCATATGCCTGTTTGTGGACGATTTGACTATATATAGTTGCTTCTGCACCCACCATCGGATCTGCAAGCCAGAAGTTACAAAGATCGATCGACTCAACACGGAGAAAAAAAATCACTAACCCTAAGTGAATATTTAATAGTGGCAGGTAAAAACTTGTATACTATAGGGGACAAGGAAACAAGTTGATAACCACAAGAATATTTGTGTTCCTGAAAATGTACACCTACCACTATTGACCTGTTTCATCAAATTTCAGATTGATAACGGATAGTGAACACATCACTTGTCATCAGTGACCTATTCAATTATCATTAGTAACTCATTCACTTTTCATTAGTGACTTGTTCACTAGTCATTAGTGGCCTAATTACATGTCATTAGTGACTTATCTACTAGTCATCAGTGACTTATTTACTTGTCAATAGTGACTTATTCACTTGTCATTAGCTAGTACGAAAAAATACCTCCATTGTTCTCTGAGAAATGATAAAACCTTGGTAATAAGACAAAAACACATGCATTCAGAACATTTTATTATATAGGTATGATGAATCCAGAAAATACAAGAAAGGTAAGGCTGACGATACTAGATACCGCGTATATCAGCATCATCCACCGAGAAAAACAGTACTATCACTCACTGCACTGCACTCTGGTTCACTATCTTTTTCCTTCCAGCATTGTAGATGAATCAACTTTCATACTTTTTATACGTCACTTCCTTCCACTTCGAGTATCATAGGAAGTGAAAAAAAATCATGTAAATATGTAGAAACAATTATGTACTGTTCTAGAAGAGTTCTCTATTTCATTATCTCAAGAGAACAGATCAAGAACTCAACACCCCACAGCTCAGAGCGCGGCACACAAACAGAGAATTCTCATACGAATATGATATAGTACTACTAGCGGGAACGCAAGTATACTAACTTCACGAATGCTAAGATCGAAATGACGCCGTGGACTCGTGGACACTGGACAGTGATCGCGTTGGGCGTGGGTACTCGAATAATATCGGAGATATCCGAACGGAAGAGAGATCTATAACTACATGTGAGCTGTCACCTGCAACAATCGACTTGATAGATTGTCTTTATTGATGAGTTCGCTCTGAGCAAGTGATCTTATGTCAGAAAAATAATTTGATAATAGTGAGTATTCGTTAACCTAACACTAGTTCAGTGTTCACTTAGAATTAGCGAACTCTAAGTACATATCGACTTGGTTGATACCAACAATTGTTCTGATCACTTACAGCAGAAACTTCGTTCCAGAAATATAGTGTTGCCTACTGCAAGTACCATATTTTCCTACCGTTGGTGAAAATGTTCTTGTCACAATCGACTCTTTTTCAAGAAAACAATTTACTTGACCGAGTATTCTCAGTGAATTGTAGTGGGTCAGTAATGTGGGATTCAAACTTTCAAGAGAAAAAACGAGTTGCGTCCACTTTTGCAGACTACGTAGGCCTCACTATGATCCGCTACTGTATATCGATAACACTCCGATGCGGACACACTATTGAAAGTCTATCAGTCTCTGGTACTTTCGAAAATAGATTATGGCTCTATTATTGTTTACTCATCAGCCCGAAGATCTACAATGAAATTACTCGATCCCGTACATCATGCTGGAATGAGGTATTCGATAGGCGCCTTCCGTACAACACCAATCGTGAGCATTTGCAGTGAGACTGGATTCCCACCTCTACGATTGCACCGTCAAAAAGTAATGGCAAACTACATCTGCAGCATACACGCTCAACCTGAACATCGAAATTTCCCCATTCTTGTAGGAGATCATTACGGATATGTCGATAGACCCACTATCACAAGGCCAGCCAGGGTGAGAGCACGCGTTTACCACCACTAGAATGGCATAATGTATTACCAGTAAATAATTTCGAAACCCCTCCCTGGCTTTTTCCGAAGATAACCATCCGTCTAGATTTGACTGCCCTTCCCAAGAACTCTACCGCTCCTATGGTCTATCGTCAGAGGTTCTTAGAAATTCTCAATGAATTTCCCCAATGTATCCTGGAAGGAGTACAAAAATGGATTCGGGAACATGCACACTGATTTCTGGATGGGCAATGATTTTTTGCACATGTTTTCTGATGACAACAACCTAGTGTTAAAGATAGAGCTCGAGGATTTCGAAAAGAACTTTGCTATGGCTGAATATAGCAATTTTGTAGTGGGTTCTGAGAGCGAAAACTATAAGCTCAGTATTGGAAAATATAGAGGGAATGCTACGGACTCTTTCTCAGGACATAATGGATCGTACTTCAGCACGTATGACAGGAAAAACGACAGAGCCCCAGAATGTTGTCCATGTGCTGTCACATATGGTGGAGGATGGTGGTTCCACAGGTAAATTTTCTTGCCCCACGTTTTTTGGGGCCTCTAATCCAATAGGTTTTAGTTTGATTCCATGAGTTATATTGCATGTTATACTAATTGCATGGTTCATGAGACCAACAGGATCTGGAAAGAAGAAGACAGCTGTAGTAGGAGTATTTGTCACTGTACCTATATATTTCTTCAATTTTCAGGTGTTTCGAATCAAACTTGAACGGACAATACTTCAGGGATCCAGATGAAAGCAGTTATTTTAGAGGAATTATATGGGAGCAGTGGTTGGGAAATTACTCACTCAAGAAGTCGGTTATGATGGTAAGGTCGAGAGGCCGAGTTTATTCTCCTACGAGGAATGTTCAAGATGGAGATTTAACGCGAATAACGTATGAAGATCCTTGAATAATTCTTTATGCAACCTACAGTTCCGAATAGTAGGTTTTGGTATACTCATTGATATGCGATGAAGATACATTTGTAATAAAACAGTATAGAAGTAAAAAAGTTTTTTTTCTCCAAGCGGCAGGGATAGTGGCCTTTTCGTGCCGCTTAACAGGCAGAAAATGTATTCTTTTACTGCATAGGCAGAAAAAGTTTGTTGCTATGCAACGTTCCAAGAAATTCTGATGAAATTAGTAATCAAAATTGACACTGACATTGGGTGAACACAAAATGATGGAGTTTTCAATAAAAAAATTACACAACATTGGTTTTATATCATTTGGAGAAAAAATTCTATGTTACACGGCAGCAAATGTAGATTGACTGCCTTGGCTGAATTCCTACCCTCGCTACGCTCGGCTATGAACTATATATTTTGGCATACGAATCGTGTTTCTTGCGTTATTCATTAATTCAAGCATGCCTTCGCCTTGTGTTGTTGTGCAATGCACAAAAAATGCAGCAAGAGACTAGGGAATATGATTTTTCAGGTAAATAGTAATCTCACAGCTGAGACATCTGTGGTTATCATTAAAGACCCTGTATATAACAATTAGAAATAATACTACTAAACTTCTTAGGATAAACAAATCACAAATCAGACAGCCATAAACGTCTATTATAACCTACCTCACAAATGGTTATTCCTAGTGGGCAGTGGGTGGAAATGAGTGATTATCCCTATTACCTCCTCCATATCGACACCCTTGACTTCACCTCAAATGAATATGTTTCAAAATTTGGAGATGAAGATGAAAACAAAATGAATATTTAACGAAGTATTTCCCTTATTTTTGAGTTAATAGAAAAATCGATTATTACACGCAGGTATATAAGAATGAAATATCAACTTAGAAATAAATGTGTTGTACTCAGTGTTGCCATGTTAATGGATTTCACACTAGAACTGGTGGTTTGAGTTTTCGTTTTGTGACAAATATGACATCTAGTGGATGGTGTTTATTTTGGTGATTTTTTTTAAATTAATGGTGAAATCTGGTTGTTGAGGACGCATCCAAAATTCCCCCTGTTATATGAAAGAAATCTAATCTCAACAATGTAAAACTAGAGAAGAGTTTTAAGAGAAATACTGCTTTTAACTTCAATCACTGTCCAAAGGTTATATCCAAAATTTGGCTGTTTTTTGTAAGATATCAAATGTTGTTTTTTGCATTTTTTTTTGTTTTATACGTAGCATATATACAAGTATATCATTGATGTTATGAAGCATTTGTTTAGTTTGCTGTTGAAATAAAAACTGTTTTCACATTTATTTATATATATCATTGAGCCAAGATCCGTTGACCAGCTAGACTTCCATTATCTGGTGTGATCTATAGTGATCTAAACTGAAGTTAAAACCACCAGAAAATCACTAGATTTGCGAAAATTTCCGACTGCGGCGCATTTTTCTTGGGCTCCATCAGGTTTGGTGGTGTATGTATGTATGTATGTATCTATATGTGTGGGCGGTCCGGGACCTGACGCACTTAGGCCTCCCTTTTCGGGCCCATCGTGTACCTACATTCCTGGGATCGCAAGTCAGCCATGAAAAAGGCCGATCTCGAGAGCAAAAGAGACCAAAGAGGCCAAATCTTTTTAACATCCTCTGGGTCCAGGATACTGCCCCCAAAATGGATATTCCTTGCTGCCACTACTGCCGGGCATCCAGTGAGGATATGAGTAGAAGTCTCTTCATCCTCTAAGCACCATCTGCATTCAGGATCCTCCACAATCGTGCTGAGATGCTTGTTCGAGTGGCAGGACCCTGTCAGAAAGCCCACCACCGGCACCACCAGTTTCAGCTCCTTCCTGTTCAAAGCCAAAAGGGCAATCGTCTGTCTTCATGACGGGTTTTCTATATGGAGTTTGGACTGCCTCATTCCAGGAGCATCTCTCATGTCCTGAAACCTTTCCGGTTTGATTTGGTGTTTTTTGGTGTTTTTCTAGTGGTCATTCCGCGACTTTTGAAAATCTGAGTTGGCAACACTGTCCTTGACTTCACCTTAAACATTTAAATGAATATGTTTCAAAATTTGTAGATGAAGATAAAAACAAAATGTATATTTAACGTAGTATTTCCCTTATTTTTGAGTTAATAGAAAAATCGATTATTACACGCAGGTAAGAATGAAATATCAACTTAGAAATAAATGTGTTGTACTCCTCTGTATACCTAATCATATCGCAGGTTACGAGTCAGGCGCCGAATGACACCCGTCACAAGACCATCAGGCCGAGACATTGAAATCTAATTTGGGTCACCGACGAGACGAATAGGATAGGTGATATATTCCCCTTTCCCGATAGTCACCTGGCTGCCGCATCCGGCAACATCGTCGGCATAGATCTGGCAGACTAGCTTCTAGAGACAAGACGCAACAAATAATACGAGCGAGCCAAGTCAACAGAAAATTTCCGGCCGAGGGGTTCGCTCACGACTTATCTAAAAAAAATTATTGAAATAGCGAATTACTATCGGCATCAACAGTAACAGTATTTTTTTCCGTAAATCACTTGAAGAATTCAAAAAAGTTGCTCCATTGACCATTTATGTATAACAGTGTTATCCATTGAAAAGCTTCACCCCTATATTTACCTTATGTTATCAAGATTAAAAAACGATATTCGGTAGTTGAATGACGCAATGAGGCTTTTCCACCGCGCCCTTATCAATAATTTTACAGGGTGGTCTATGAAAGCGTGATAAATTACAATTTGTTTTTTTGGGACACTCTGTTTTTATATTTTTTTCGGAATATGTGTTTCTTGTGATCACAGAAATATATATAAACAGTATGATATCTTTGATTTTTACTTCAATATCACCACTTTTTTTACCCCAGAAAAACAATTTTTGTGTGTTGGCTTCTACAGATATAGTGTTAGCCATGAATGAGGATATATTTGACAGTTTTATGTTGTACCATTATCGAATACATTCCCAAACTGATCAAGAGATCATCAATGACGTCCTCTTGAAGCTGTCCTGAAGTATTCTGATTCAGGACATTTTCACTGAAAATTGGCAGCTCTATAACGTTCATTAGGATGAAGAGAATATAATGTCCTCTCCAAGCTTTTTGAGGATGTCCCTAGGTTCACATATAGAAATGTACCCAGGCTCTCCTCAAGTCTTCCCTAATTCAGGACATTTTCAGTGAAAATTTACAGCATAATGACGTTATAAGGATGGAGAAATAAAGAGGCGACGTCCTCTAGAGGCTATTACCGACATTTTGAAGATGTCCTCATGCGATTGAGTTCTATCTGGGCTGCTATGAACATAAGTCAAGGAGACCAACTACCACCATAAATGGTATTACATACTTTTCTCTAAGACAATTGGTCCGTAACTGAATAAAATTTAGATAGCTAGCCGCCCAACCGAATCGACTTGCGCAGCGCAACAATATGGGGAGAGTAGTGGGGGCTCAGTCTCTCAGAGTCTCAGACAGCATGTTAGTACTAAAGGACAAGACAATTTTTTTCATTGATATCTTGAAAACGCTTACACCGATTTCAATGAAAAAAGTCACCTTGTATTTTTTTCGAGTTCTTCTCAAATATTCAGATGAACTAACTGAAAATAAAACATTTCTGTCTCTTGCTATTCTTTCATACAGTGTGACCCACTTCTAATGGAACCACCCCTGTATCTTACGTAATCGTTGGGTAAGGATCCTGAAATTTGTTGGAGCGAGAGATATACCAAAAATGCACTCTATGACCAAGTGGGGTCATCTTCAGTGATATACACTGATCGAAAACCGACATGAAACTACCCCAATTTCCGGAAAATGATATTAGGAGTCAAAATAGGTCGAAAATAACTTCAGATTTGGAATCAGGACGCCCAATTTACAAGTTATTCAAATTTTTCCTGTAAAATTTTCAGTTCGGAAAAATGAAATTTCGTCGCATTTTTTATGGAAGCACCCCCGTATCTCACGTAATTATTGAGGTTTGACATTACATTTCGACCGAATTCCCGCTAACTCAATACCAGAAATCCCGAGGAAAACCCTGTACAAAACAGAATTATGCATGATGCATTCGGAAGTTCACCACACGAATTAGTTGTTGCGTCCTGTCTCCAGATGCTTCTATCTGGCAGGCGCCGCGAGCGTCGCGACGCGTTCCACCGCGCACCCAGTCGTAGTGCGGACGTCCCCGATGCCTCTCTGGCGCTCCTTCAACCGATCCCGACAGCGAAATAGTGGCCGATCGACCGTATGAATGTCTCGCTTAGCGCGTTATGACGGCCGACGAAGGGCCCCATAATGCGACCGCCTGCCTCGTCCTCGAGAGGAAGTACTGGTGTTTCCTGCTCTCCTCCATCTGCACCTTCCTGGCCGGACTGCTCATCGTGCTGGTATGGAGGCTGTTCGCGTTCCTGTGCTGCCGCAGGGAGACCGACCTCGGACCGAACGATCCCAAGCAGAAGGAGCAGAAGGCGGCGCGACAAGGCAAGCAGGAGTTCGAAGGGACTTTCATGACAGAGGCCAAGGACTGGGCGGGAGAGCTGATATCCGGACAAACTACGACTGGCAGAATTCTGGTAAGGATCCTGCTTGGTTTGGATTGGATTGGATGCACCCCTGAATGACCATCAGCAGTGACGTTACTCGCCACGGATTCTAGGTCATTCACAAATACACGAATATCGAACAAATAACGACAGACAGATCAATAGGCAGGGCAAACACCCTAAGGGTAGGAATATTCGCTATAATGGTCTGCAGTATCGTGTTCCATTTTAATGTATTCGAGGAGCTTTCATCCGAGCTGTGTGTATTTTTCCTTCGTTCTTGCTTTGTGGTCTGCATTCTTTCCGCTGGAATTATTTCGTGATACGTTTTGCGCAGCCTCTTTATCGAATTCTTCTTTGAAAATTATTTACGCTCTCGAACCGTCCCAATTTGACCTAGAAAATTAACAATTACAGCGATATAGCTCTATATTTGAGTTTAATTTCATTCATTTGTCAGAAATATACAATACACAAAAATGCACTTGTATGATCGCTCTGTTGAAAGTGAACGTTGTTCCACAGTTCAATGTGCTGGATTTTGACACTCAATTTCTATCTTGCATTTTGCAGGATTCAAATCTAGGGGATGGTATAACTATGTACATGCATAGTTAGGTACCCATTCTCTTTGTTAATGGGATTGGCACAGAGAAATATCAGTGGCGGCTCGTGACTTTCATGACAGAGGAGGCTGAATGATATGAGATTTATTGTGAAAAACAACTCTTCACTCACCCAAATCAATAGCTCTTTAATGACATTCTGTTTACCAGTTTACCTGAACTTGATACTTGAAGGGATGTGTTCCTGTGATTTGCAGTGTCTATCCAATCCGCGAGGCAAATTTTTTAAATCATTATATCCTAATCGCCCCCAACATAATGACTTATCGGTTGAAAATAATACGCAGTACCAACAAAATAGCTTATTCCTTACCTCAGATCCCGTCAACCAGATATATTTTTTATAATTATCAGAATTGAATGAACGATTTTGTTTGTTACCTGTTACAATCAGATTTTTCAATTCCGGTGTCGGACGTTTGTTTTTCACAATCAATTTATCTTCATAAGACAAAGCATTGAATGGGTTCACCAAAAAGTATTCCACTAAATCACAAACGTTAAAAAACACACTCATTTTTCAGAAATTTATAGAGCCCCTTACCATTAATCTGACATAAACATAAACAATGAACTCGCGTTTGTCTGCATTTCGCGAAGCGACACGACAAACACGTGCTATTCAAGCGTATTCGCCTTGTGAAGGAGTCTAGCCTCCTATAGATGTTGCCAAGTTAAATTTTTTTCGCGTGATTTGCAGACATCAACGTGTGATGCGTGGGCAAGCACTGTTGTCAATTCAAGAATATTCAACTAAAAACAGGAAATAAAATCAAAATCCATGTATTTTGGTGTCCATTCAATGGGAAAGTATAGATTATATTAGTTTAAGGAAAATCTCTGAGGAGGCTCAGCCTCCGTTGCCTCCTCTGAGGAGCCGCCACTGAGAAATATTTCATCGCCACAGAAGAAACTATTGAATTTTTCGAGGTCAAACCACGTAGAAACTGTAATATTCTCCTTTGTTGATGGAATGACGATAATAGATTTAATAATCAACAGATTGTATCGCTTTCATTCAGAAAGAGACTATAGCACAAACTGCATTAGTGCGAAACACGAAAACCATTTAGTTGGCAGATCATCTTCATTTGATCCATTCGACCAAAGAGCAATGATGAGTATTATCATGATTCTTTTTTTCGTGTGATTTTAAACCAATCAGAATGTTCAATTAATTTCGAATATACTTGGATATACATAGAGTAGTAGTAGAGTACCAATCAGGTATTAGAAATTATTTACATTTTCATAGTAACCAATTCATATTGTTACAAACAAACAAAGCACGCCGTCAAATTTTGACGTTCGTTCAGAATTACTCAAGAAATAATCGCATCGAATACAATTCGAACTTCGAAATCTTCAAAGTTATATATTTCAACTACCTGCACAATTACAAACCGTGTCAGTTTTACAGTATACTATTTCGAGTGTTAAACCGACACTCTTTGTAATTATGCAACAAGTTGTATAACCCGAATATTTTGAAGTACTCACCATATGACATGAAGAAAATCTCTTTGGGGATATAATATGTACAGGGTGCTAATATTAGTCTCACAGAAACGTTCAAAAATGGGCATATATTATGAAGTATTCTTCATGGCCACTCATAATTTATTACTAGAAAATGCAAGAGATCATCGTGAATTTTACATAAACTTGAACTGAGGATTTTTATTTTTCATGCTCTCCTTTTGGATGTTCACAGTGGCGTAACTAGAATTTCTTGACCCCAACGCAAAATACATAAGGAGGCCCTCCTTTCAGTCTCAAATCACGAATGGTAAATAAATATAAAATGAGCTCCAATTTTTTTTCATTCATTCTATTTTACATATAACATGGCAAAATATTTCTTCGTATCAAAAAAACTTCGAATCTCCTGAGTTTAAAATGAATCTCAACGTTGTTTATTTCTTTTTCATCGAAGAAAAACGAAACCATGAATAACTTTGAGTTTAAACTAATTCATTAAACGCTAAAATTATTTCTTCTCGCTTTATACACATTGCAAATTCATTAATTAATTAAATTGAGAAAGGTTGAGGTTTAATTTGTTGGCAGCTTCACTTTCGACAGAAATTAAAGATTCCAATCGCTCTTGCATTATTTGATTCCTTGTATAGCTTTTGATTAGTTCACATTTACTATCTTCTACCTAATCAGCAAATGTCGAATGCTGTTGTGACGCTGACGCTTAACGTCGTGAGTCGCAACCAGAACTAATGCAGAACATAATAACAAATAATGTTCGCTCGACCAATAAGTGTCCCTAGGTTCATATTTGAGAAAAAAACTACAAAATTCGGAACTGCTTCAAATATTCGCTTAATTAAGTTTTGCTTTTTTGAAAATAAAGGATGAGTAATCGAACGAGTGGGCCCCCCAAGCTTGGGGTCCCAACGCATTGCGCTTACTGGTCTTATATGCTAGTTACGCCATTGGATGTTCAACAGATATAATTCAATGTTCGACGTGGCAAATAGCCAAGAAAGTAGTTGTTTTCTGCTGAATATTCATAATAATATTATATGCATACATAGTTTTATCTGAAGGAGGATACAAATTCTCAACTTCAGAAGCCAGGAAAGTAGTTGTTTTCTGTTGAAGAAGCCGATAAAGAATTGATATTTTCATCACATAGAGAATAATTCTCAATGTATCTCTTTATACAGGGTGTTTCAAAAAAACCTGACCCCCTAACTAGGGTAGGTAGAACACTGCAAAATAAGTTGGGTTTACTTAGTAAGAAAATTTCGTAATGGCATCCGTTATCAAGATACAAGGTGTTGAAAAAATATTTTTTTTACACATTTTTCAAGATTTTGTCGAAACTACTGGCAACATTGTGATGAAATTTTGTATGGATGTTTCTTGGAATCTGACACATCGCATGCATTCGTTTTTATATCTGACTCTCATAGAGGGCGCTAGTTACACGGTTCGTACCAAGTAGTTTAGAACATAACTTTTTTGAGGTTAGATTTTTCGATCCAAATTTGATGTGAACTTTGACATCATTCAATTTAAAACCACAAAGGTACTCTTGGTAAAACTCGATACTGTGTACCGTTTTCAGAATATTTCGATTTGAAAGTTTATGCTACATAGGTAAATTCACGTCAAGAGTTGTAAGACATAATTGTACATCACTCATATGACCTAACAGCTGATTCTCAACTGTTTAAAAGAATAATAAATTCTCAAGAAAATAAATTAGAATCGTGTATTCGTCGAAACGTAGGACATTTTGAACACTTACACTAACTGATTCAATATTTCATGTTTCTAGTCAAATATCTCTTAATTTACTACTTATGACTCTTTGTTCCATCAATAACTCCAGTGCAAGAATGATTTTATTGTTTTTGAATCTGAATAAATAGGTAATTGAACTCAATAATATTGATTTTATACCAGCATAGCTATTGCTCCATTATTTTCAAATCGAAATATTCCGAAAACGGAACATTGTATCGAGTTTCACCAAGTGTACCTTTTTGATGTAAAATTGGATGATGTTCAAGTTCATATCATATTTGGATTGAAAAATCTAACCTCAAAAAAGTTATGATCTAAACTACTCAGTACGAAACGTGTAACTCGCGCCCTCTATGGAAGTCAGATAAAAAAACAAATTCATGTGATGTGTCAGATTTCAAGGAACACTCATACAAAATTTCATGCCAGTAGTTTCGACATAATCGTGAAAAATTGTAAAAAAATAATTTTTTCAACACCTTGTATCTTGAAAACAGATGCCGTTACGACATTTTTTAACTGAGCAAACCCAACTTATTTTGCAGTGTTCTACCTACCCTAGCAAGGGGGTCAGGTTTTTTTGAAACACCCTGTATATCCATTTTTTCATGTTGAAAATGTATGTGAGAATATTCCTTTTCGATACTTTCACCCAATCAATGGGTTCAAACTTGAACGATGGAAACTTGTTATTTTTATACACCTTCAATGGCAGATTCGTGATTAGGTTTTCTGAATTCAGAATTTCTTTCCACGTCATGTATGATGAATATCAATTTGTCATATATCCAAAAACTAAATTTGTTGTTCCTAAACTGTTTTAAAAAACAGTTTAAACACCACAAGTAAGAGCGAAAGTGAGAGGTCCAAACTTCTTCGTGACACGAGGGTATTTTCCCTTTTACTAAACGATCTATCAGAGTGCATCGACCATCTCATTTCACGCCCTTTGCAGAGGGTGGACACACTTGTCATCTTGTTAACCAGCTGAACAAATCACTTGAGGCACAAATATGTTTTATTAAGAGATGGAAAGTCATCTTTCTGAACTCCTTCATTGAACGAGTGCATACATACCGGGTGGCTACGGAAGTATTGCCTACGGAATATCTCAGTTATTGTATAAAAGAGGTTTGT